CCCCTTCCCCCTCCAAGGGAGCCTCTCCCAGCCCTGTTCGGCAGCTGGCCTGCTGCTGCCCAGCCCCCGCTGTGCCACCGCTACTGATCTGGGGATTTTTTGCAAGACTGAAACCCCACACCCCCTTGCCTGCTGGGACACCCCACTGCTCCTGCTACAGCTGTTGAGTTTCTGCTGCCTCTTGCTGGCTATCCCCGGTGAGTTTGTTCCTGCCATTTCAGCTAGCTGCTTCTGAGGTTCCTGCTGGGACACCAGGATCTGCTGCCCTGGGAGGTTTGTGGAGCAAACCCTTTTTCAATCCCTTCCGCCGGCGTCCACCATTACCACGTGAAAAGAGACGACCGAGCTGGCACCACAGCACCCCCCGCAGCCACAGGGCCATCATCACACCAGCCCTGCCTGGCCGGGAGCCAGCAGCGCCCCTGCCGGCTGTGCCTGGAACTGCACCAAAGGGGAAAGCGCTGGTGGCCGAGAGAAGGCTGGGATGGGGCTGTGCTTCTGTTCATTGTTAATGCTGTTGTTGTTTGTTTGTTTGTCTTGCTCTACATACTAGTAAAGAACTGCTATTCCTTTTCCCATACCATTGCCTGAAAGCCTCTTAATTTCAAAGTTATAATAATTCAGAGGGAAGGAGGTGATAATCTCCATTCTAAGGGACATTCCTGCCTTCCTTGGTAGACACCTGTCTTTCAAACCAAGACAAGGTGAAAGCTCTGGCTGACGAAAAGTGTATCAAGAAGTGCTCCAAAAGGACAGGAGCCACACAGTCCTCCTCATTTCCTTGCTAAGAAGCAACTCTGGGCACTGAGGAACTCTCAGGGACGATGAACACCTCCAAAACTGCATGCACACACCCCTCAGCATTTTCCATCCAAACCAGATCAATTTTATTTTATACCTCTGCAGAGCTGTGCACACAGGACATCCCCTCCATTTCCACAGCATTTTAGTCCATATCAATTATCAAGAATTGGTGAATTTCCCAGACCCACTTGGTTTCTCCCAGAGTGACCTTCACTGCCACACCGTCTTTACTTTCCTGCAGACAAGAATGTCAGTCATCTTCTGTTCCTGCTGCTCTCAGAAGCAGATGCAAAGGGAATGTGGCAGAGAGCCTGAAGGAAAAATCCAGCCTCATCAGCAGAAGTGAGCTGGCACGAAGAACCCAGCTGACTGCTCTGGGAGGAATTTCAAAAATGGAGTGCAAAAAAAGGGACTAAGCTAGCCATAGGAGGGGGAGGGGACTGTTCTGTAAAATTAAACTTGTGTCCTTAGTATTTCTGCTGTAAGAAACACCTGAAAGTGAAGAGTTAAGGGAACACCTGAGGCATCAAGGGCCTTAACTGCAGGACAGAGGTGTCATGACAGGGCTACAGGCATGGGACAGTTTCTTGATGGCAGCTGGAACGACCTTCAAGATGTTTCAGAGACACCCCTGTGTGATACCAGGGAAGAACACCCAGGGGAACATCATGTGTTGCAGAGCTGTGAGGAAATCTCCACCTCTGATTTTAAGAGCTCAACAGGAAAATGCCCTGAACCACCTGCTACAGCTTTGGAGCATACCCCACTTTGAGCCAGAAGTTTGGATCCCCTCTGGAGGCATTCTGGGCCTATGGGTTTTAGAGGTGTTACTAAAACCTGACATTACACACAGATTTGCTTAACAAATTTACAGAAAGAAAATCAAGAAAAAGAAAAAAGCATCTGCAGAGGATTGCCTGAAAGTGTTCGAGAATGAAAAATGTTTTATTGGCACTTAAAAGTTCTTGGCTTGCTCTTCCTAGCAAAAAACCTTGGTAGAAAATGAAAAAAAATAAAGGCATTAAAAAACAAGTTAAAACTGGAAATGAGAAGTTCCACAGAACAGAGGAGGAAATCCCCCAAACTTCTAAACAACTGCACTTTCCTAACATGAGAGAAGTAGCGAATCAAACTGTTCCAGGAAGCTCAAGAACTGTGTAAGACCTGCTAGCCCCATACTGGTGCCCTGTGGCACCAGTAAAATGTTACTTTTATATTTAAAATATTTTTAAATTTTTTAAAAAATACCTTTTTATTTAAAATGTTACTATTTTATTTAATTAAAAAATTAAAATTAAAGTAAAGTAAAATTAAAGCCTGTGTGCAGCAGCAGTTCTGAACTGCAATATAACAAAATTTCCTCCTCTAGAATGTCTGCTGGCTCCTGCAAAGCACAGGCTTCTTTCACCTTAATAAAAAAATGTATCTTCTCCAGATTATTTTCATCAGAAATTGCAGTGTATCATCACAACTAACAAACCTCCAATATGCGTGAGGAAATGGAGACTGGTGGAGCCTGCTTCTTTCTTTAAGGAATGCTGCCCCTCTGTGCAGGAAGGGGTATGAGGATGGGGGACTACTGCTTACCTTCATTTATTGTGAGATGTCATGCCCAGATTCTGGATGGAAGCAGTCAGTCTCACCATGTGCTGTGACAAGCACCTGGAATTCAGGTAATAAGCAAAAGCCTTCCCCCTCTTCTGTGGTATGTAGAAACTTTGGAGTTCTTCAGGACTATAAACAATTAGTGACAAAGATTTTCTGCGCAGCAGATATTTCATTTGGAAGGGTTTTCTGCAAAGCATCTATTACACATCCATCCCCAAGGGTCCATTCCACCTGACCTCCCTGATAATGGGTACCTCCTGCTCACAACATGTTTCTCCAACCATGTGGCTTGCAGGGTACTCCAGTTTCCGAGCATGAGTCCACAGACACTTTGTCCTAGTGGGCCTGAGAAGCTGCTGGCCAGCTGACAAACTCTGACCAAGTCCTCTTGGCCACAAGTGGCCTACCAGGAGCTGGCTGCAGCTGAAGGATAAGGGACAGGTGATTTCCTTGCTGCAGACACAGGCCCAGATGTGGTGCAGTGTAGGGCCCTGAAGGCTTCAAATAGCCTCTCTCTAATAATTAGAAATCTCTAATTATAAAATTACCTGGTAGAGGCAATTGATAAAAACAACACAAACCTGAGGGGGTGACTATAGAACAGGGGTCACTTTATTGTCAGGCAGTCAAGAAGTTCTTCTGACACTATAATTATGTCTCAAAGAAACAGCAGCCGAAGTCAGTGATTAAGTGACTACAAGCAGAGAATGTGAACTCCAGCATTCTTTTCTCTGATGCTCACAGCCCACTGCAAGTAGATCAGAAGGTAGATCCTCTTCTGTAAGAACCCTCAGCCTCTCAGCTGTTACCATGGTGGCGGTTTCACCTACTTGCAGAGACCTCCTGTTCAGGAAGCTCATAGCAGGTGCCAGTGCTAAATTTCTGAGATCCACCAAGGTTCCATCCCCTCACACTCATAAACGGACATCTTCTGTCCCTAACTCCAATTCATGGTTTGACTTTCTCTAGCCCAAGTTCAGTATCTTCCACAAAAATCCCTGACCACCTCTGCCACAACTCAAGGCGTACTTTTAAGTTTCTGCCAGGTTCTTACTAAAGAACCAGTAAGCTAAGCAGGGTGCTCTGAGCTCCCAGGCTTAGCATATGAATATACTCGCGTAGCAAAAAGGGTACTCACACTTCTACATCACTAAAAACACCCATCATATCAGGCACAGTTCCCATTTCTTTTAAAAATAAATATTTATAAACAAAAGGAAGAGATTTGGAGAACTACAAAGTTAAAAAATTTCCTGCAAACAGCACAAATGTTTCTCATGTACAGTCACAGGAACAAGTTGTACATCAACATGAGCGCTGTCTAAAAAACTCTCTCCTCATCAGCTGCCCCAGTCCACCTGCACAGAGATCCACATCTCCCATTGTAGCAGCCATCTCTTCTGCACTTCTCCAGGACTTGTACTGGAGCTGTTCAGTCTCCTTTCATGATCAAGTCCTCGATATATGCATCCAGTTCATCATCTGTATTAATATCAATGTCCTGAAACCAAAGTAACAAGGAATACCAGTGAGAAGTGAATCCTGAAGAACAGTGCAAGAAAAGAGGAACCAGAGCAGCTTAGCATCCTTTGTTACATCTGGCCTGCTCAGCCTCTATGCCCCAACCTCCAGCACTCTCTACCTGCTGACAGCTGCACTGACAGCACCCCCAGCTTTCCCTGTCAGCATCTGAAAGACAACACTGGCAACCCATCAGCACCTGATGCTCAAACAATGCACTCAAGTGATGGATTTACTGTACTGATTTCAGTTGAGGCAGGTTCAGTTTGGGTTCTTTTAGATTTAACACATTTTCCTAAAACGGAGCAACTGCTTCCAGATACTTTCAGTAGCCTTTCCAGGTAGATCCTGATTTTATGAAAGCAGTTTTTATATTTAAAGTTAGTTTATTTATTAAAACATTTTAATTATATATTTCATATTTTAATTTAATAGTTTAACTAATATATCAATTTCACTACAAGACTTTTTACTATTGTTTGTTTAAAGGTTTGCATTTCTCTATGTGGAGTTCAGAATCTGCAAAAATGGGGCAAAAATGCCCTGCTAAGCACTGCCTATGCCTGGGGAAATTCTCAAGCATCCTCATGGCAGAGAACAAACAGAACCTGTGCATTATGTACACACCATGAGAAATCATTCTGTAAGAATTAACATACATCAGGACTCCCACCCAGGGCCTGGTTCCCAAAAGGGGGCAGTGACAGCCCAAGCTGTTCCCAACTGAGGAAGCTGGAGCCCAGTGAGATACTGGACTGAAATACTTGTAATGCCTGGAGGGGATGAGCCAGGTGGCTACTCTGAGGCAGCTCAGGGTTTGCTACTCCTCCCCACCCACCTCCTGCACTTTCTGCAAAAGGGCCATGATATTAGTCCTAAGCTTCTGCAGTTTCTCCTCCGTTTCCTTCAGCTTCCTCTCTGAGTTCCGGAGGTTTTCCTCACAGGCTTTGGCCCGAGCATCGGCACGTGTCTGATATGAATTGCACAGGTTCTGCAGACCCATCTCATACTGCTTAAAATATTCTTTCTGTAGTAGACAAAACACAACAGATGACAAATTAAGAGAAAGCACCAAGCATCACAAAGACATGAGCACTCACAGGCTGTAAGACAATCTAAACTCCTGGCCCTCATGATCAAGTCCTCCCTGCAGCGTGCTCCTGCCCATGCTCATATTTACATCTGACTTGCCTACTGCAGCCAGTACAGATTTCACACAGCTTTTCACATTCTTTCAATACCAGAACTACCCCCAAAGCTGCTTGAATTTAGATTAAGGGTTCAGTGTACTTTAAAAACCCTGAATCCACACACATGCTGCAGGCCTGACATCCCCTGTACACTGTATCCTTAGTACAGATCACCCAGACAACACAGCCTCTCACTGCAAGGTAGGGACAGCTACACTCACCAAAAACCCCAGACACAACCAAGATGTCCTGTGGAAGGAGCAGGAGTGGTAACTCCAGCAAATGCCAGCAGATGCCTGAGTTAACAGAAGGGGAGGAGACAAAAGAGAGACTGCCAATACACACACTGCGAGTGTGGGATTTAAAAACAGAACTGGCTTTGGTCATGTGGTCATCTGCAGGCAGCTTTTTACATGTGCCTCCTGGAAAGGTCTCTCTTGGTAGTATGTTGAAGAAGAAAGTCAGAGAGGCCAGTTCCCTTGCCCTGCATTCCAGCCAGCACTGGGCCTCCCAGTACCAGGCTGCTGGTGGAAGCTCAGTCCCACCTGTCCTGTGCTCAAATAAACAGAGGTCAAAAGTCTTAAAGTGTGCAGCTTGACTCACTGGCAACCTGCTCTCCTGGGGAAGTGGGAAGGGAAGGGGTTGGCTTCCATGTTCTCTCACACTGAAGTAAATGGCCTATATAGGAATTGAATCCACACTCAACGTTGTGGGTTCAATCCCTGTATGGTCCATTTACCTAAGAGCTGGACTTGATGATCCTTGTGGCTCAGAATATTCTGTGAATCTGGGGATAATTATTTGTTGTATTATTTATAATTTTTAAGATTGTCTCCTGATAAGTTATAAGGCTGGGAGCAAAACAAGGAGGTTTTTGTTTCTACAAACCTCTAACCTGCTCTGTCTTTTACAGAAGTTTAACAGCAATGGTTAAGAATTTAAGATAGCAGCAGCCAATAGCATTCCCACACAAATGCAAGCTAATTAGAAAAATCCTCAGACAACTGTTAAAAGACTCAAGGCATCTCTCAAAGCTCTCATTCTTTTTGTCAGCTATGTTAGTCTGCCGAAGATCCAAATTATCTTTTCAAGAGTGTACTCTTGCATCAGCAAGATGCACATTTGCCATACGAATGGAATATGTGTGGGTAAAACACAAACTTACTTTTCTAGAAGTACTGAACTCACCAAGGGAAATGCCAACAACCCTTCTGAGCTCATGGAACTCAGCTCATTCTTGGAGATTGGAAAATTTGGAGGCAAGAAGTATCGCAAACAATTCCTGTGCAGGAAAACAAAACACAAAGCCAGAGTTGGGAGTTTAACAGACTGAAGCAATCAGATTGCAGAGTTCACAAGGTCTGCGGTGAACTCACCGAAGGATCTGGACAAGCAAGTCAACTGTTTCTTGGCTGCTGCTGGGACCAGTGGTGTCAGGCTCAATTCTGACGCAGTCTGAGGTAGAAGGTTCAGCCATGACCACTTCCTCTTCCTGTTGTGTGTCTGGAGCCTGGTACTCAGGAGAGGGAGGCTTCATAAGCCTTACATCCTCACTGCCTTTCTCTACCCTGAGAAGAAGTATTAAGGGCATGTCAGGAATCTTTTTCTACATTGGACTTACGTGAAACACACTTAACAGTTTCATCAGAAGCTGTACCCAAGTGTCACTTAGACCTCTATACACTGCCTAGAACTAGAACAGCTGCCTCCAGGGCAGGCATCAGAGTGACAGACAGATGGAGTCTGTCATGCCCATTACTTATGAAGCCCTGGATAGTCCTGACCTCACAGGTTTCCTGCCATGACAGCAGCATATTTGTCTTCAGCATCTATGGGAACAAAACAGACCCTTCCTCCCAAAAACAAAACAAGCCTCCAAAATCCAGTAGCTTGAGATAGTTACCAGCGATCCCTTGGTGTGGTGTCTGTAGGGACATAGTCAAACTTCACCTTCCACCGGATTGCGTGCCTGACCTTTTCAACAGCTGTGACACGGCCTGTGAACCATTCCTTGTTCACACGCACCTCCACGTGCAGCCCCTTGTCTGTGAGGGGGAAGCAAAGGTGTTTGCAAACATTCAGATGCTGGAGAGCACATTCTACAGGTGCTCTAGAGATTTAGGCACCTCAGCAGGGAGGACAGCTGTGACAATGCCCTCAAACAGTATGGACACCATCAAAACACAATCAGCATACAGGTCAGCTCTTGCTGAGAAACATGAAGATGCATGGAAATTCCAGATGGAAGGTTTCTCCTGTACTCCAAGCTGTTTGACATGGACTTTACAGTCTCATAATGGGCTCTAGGAGAATTTACCACACATTGGTACTTGTGGGTCACTTTCTGGACATCTCCCTGGAAGCATGCTGAAAAGATGCCCTGCTCTGGCAGATGGTGCAGTATCAACCTGGCAATCACCCTTCCTCGGGTCTCCCAGCCCCTCTTCTTTCACAGCAGTGCAGTCAATCTGGATACAGCCCTGAGCATTTTCCAGCTGGCATGGCTGAATGATCCACTCAGGAAGAGTGAACATGCCATCAGCTACACCCTGCAGCCCAGCCCCACCCCCGTCAACGTGATGTAGCCATCAATCACAGACCTTTCCATGCCACAGCTGCCTCTGGTCTAATCAAAGGGTTCCCCACCAAAATGTTTCATGCAAGTTAGAGCAATCTTGGGGTTTGGAATTCAAATTTACACTATTTCTTATTTTAAAATCTCATTAAAGAAATCACACGTTTAACTGGTGCAACAGCTCTTTTCTGTGTCAGATACTAGTGGCAGCCCAAGGGATCATTTCTCACCTTTCTGTGCTTTCTTCAGTTCCAACAACTCTTCCTCTCCAGCACTGTCTGTGAGCTGAGAGCAGAGAGCTCACATTAGTTATCTCCCATCAAGATTATAAACACCTGATAAGTACCTTCTGCTGGGGAAACTAGCACATTCTTACCTCCACCACCACCTCACTGGAATCCTTCTCTTCTTTCACCGCCAAAAATTTTCCTCGTTTTGTCCTCTCCTTTTTGGGTTCCCCCTCCTCCTCAGACCCATCCTCTGGGATGTTCAAGGCCCTCTTTCGAGTGCTGGAGGCCTGAAAGACGGAAACAAGCTCTAGCTATTAATTCCAGCCTGCTTCCAACCAAAACCTTCTGGAAGCCAAATTTTTTTTTAAAAAAAAAAATCTCAACATCCAGTATTTAATTTGGTAGTTAGTTTTTCTGGAAGGTTTTAGAGGTGCTACATCATCATGCAAATGCTCACCCCACCACTCCACGTACGTTTTTTTTTCCTGGGGAAACAATCTGCTCTAACAGGAAAGAGATGAAACCAGTCTTCTCGAGGGGTGTAAATGGCACCCTAACCCAAGAGTAAAGTAAAAGTTCTCTTGGCCTGTGCACTGCCCACAGTGCACATAACACAGGAAAGAGCAGACAAGCTTAGAGTGACAGTGGGTGAGGAGCTGAGGGGTTTCATCCCACTGATTCTTACCTGTAAACATCTGCCAGGGGCAGATTTCCTTACTGCTGGCACCTTGGCAGCTTTTGGATTGGGTGTCTCACGTGGGCTTTTGGGGCTCTGCAGACCAGAGAGGGGCTTCATGCTTGTACCTGATTTGGCAAGAGTTTTTAAAGTGCTGTTAGACTTCCCAGATGTCACAGTGTGATGGTATGTCCTGGAAGTGCTGGCCTCCTCCTTGAAGAGCATGCTGGCTAGCTTGGGAGAGCTGGTATTTGGATGATCTGAAGAGCTCTTTTTCAGCTGACTGCAGTACTTGGGAGGAGGTGAAGATCCTGGTGGTCTGCTGGGAGCATTCTTTATGACATCAGGCAAAGGCGGAGATCGTGGGCGCTGAGCTCGGGTGTGCTGAAACAAAGGAAAGCAGAGAGAGAGGAAGGGTAGAAGAGTGGGGAACTGCTGTTCAGAACAGTTAAGGAAGCATAAAGGAGTAAAAGCCTACAGTAGGATCCCATTTACCTCCCTTGAAGGCCGTGTGGTCACTTCCAGAGGCAGTTTCTTTAAGTCAGACTGAGAGCGAATTGAAGTGGTTTTCTACCAAAAAAAAAAAACCAAACAAACAAACAAAAAAAAAAACCACACACAAAAAAAAACCACCACGAACAAAAAACAGAAAGGTCATGTTTACAAGCTGTCGGGGGCTACCTGAACCCATCCCAGAAGTTTTCCAGGCTAAAACCAAGAATTTTATGGTGTATCTTGTGTCCTTCAAGAGAAATCCCTTCAGCTGTTATTCCCATTTTCACAACAGAAGATTAAATACAAGCTGAGATAGTCAATTTCTGTTATTAGAACAGTCCCAGCCCCACAGAGGAACACAGGTGGTTTTGGACTCAGCAGCAGCCCTTTGCACAAGGAGGTCCATCACACCTGCTCTGTTTAGCTGGAGACCCCCAGACTCACCTGCAGAACTTCCAGCTTTTCCTGCTGCTGGTGGATTTTCTCTGTCAGTTGCTTCTGCTTTTCCTTATTTGTTTTCAAATCTTTTTTTAGAGTTCCCAGTGGTACCTTCTGCTTCTGCTCTGCAGCCTCACATCTAACATGGAGGGAATGCAAGACAACCTCAGCAAGGACAGCAGAACCTGTATCATCTCACACAGAATTATCCAAACATCCCATTCCAAATGCATCAGGAAAGCCACTTGCCTTTCTGCAGTAGCTACAATCTCAAAAGCAGTGTTTTTCATCTTGAAAAACAGATATTAATTAAGGATCAAAAGCATAGTTGTTAATAAAAAGGCATTTATGCTGGGAATCACAAATTCCGAGCCCAGGAACTGTAACACAGCTGTGATAGCTTCTGTACTGCACCCGTACTCCACTTTTTCAACTATTTTCCTTCCAATCAGCTTATTTCTTCATATCAATTCTTTCTGCAGACTTTTTTCTCTTCAGAAAGGAAAGCACAGTACCAGAAACCCATGACTAAGACATTACCACAAGCCTTCCAGCCTCAGATGCCTTCTGTCTTGCCACTCAAGGTCTGGCAGTGTCCTTTGCAACATCCTGTAGCTATCTGCTTTTTCCATCCTGTTCAGCCTATGGTCTACAACAGTGGTGAGTATCCTACTCTCCCAGGTCCTCTCAGGTGCAGAATCCTGGAAGAGTTCTTGAGAGAGAAGCAAAACAGGTAGGAAATACTCTCTCAAATGGATTGGCATCACCTTCAAAGTGCTGGCTAAGCAGCTGGCCCTCAGGAGCACTGCCAGAAGAGAAAGAGGGCAGAACCTCTCAGCCCAGGCTCATCTCCTGTCACCAAACAGAGTCATGGAAAGACAGACCAAGATCAGCCCTGCTGGGGTAAAATCATGCAGGAATGGTTTGAGCCAGGAAAGCAGCAGATAGCCCTTTGACAACACAAGAGATCCAGCAGATCTCACTCTGCACTGGAGCCAAACTGGTAACCTGCAGATGTCTTATTAGTAAACAGAGAACCCTGCTCTCACTGTAGAACACTCAAGAGCTCCAAGAAACTGAGGAGAGATGATTTTATCAAGATCTCTATCTACCAGATACACACTGATCAACTTTGTGAGTGAGATGGAGCACAAACAGCAGTTCCTGCATCAGCCTCTTCCCAGCTGAAGCACTGCTGGGGTGTTTTCCTTGGCTAAGGAAGTGTGTGTCATCACAACAAAATTACTGCCTGACACAAAACCTGCAGTTCCCAAAGGTAAAGTTGAACAAGTGGTACCACACACAGTTTCCTAGCACAGAAATGCATCTTCCAGGTCATGGTAAGGCTGGAAGCATTGCCAAGCTGTGTCTTATAGCACAGTAAAGAAAGAAAGCACCTTGAATTCTTCGACAAGAAAAATTCAGACTCTTCATGGCATCCAAATACAGAGATTGCATCACTGGAGGCAGCAAATCAGAACAAAGGAATTTTCTTGGTAGTCAGAATGGACTAAAACCAAGACTCTGATGGTGCTCAAGGAGCTTTGAGACAACAAACATCTTCAGCTGGTGTTTCAGCCACTGTCGGCAGTTATGCATCCTTCCTTTTGTTCTGTCTCACCAATGGAATTTTAACCCATTAGTGTCAGGGAAAACCTGATTGCTGGTACTTGGTGGGTGCTTGAAAAACACAAAGAGTTTGGCTGGGCCTAAGTGGGGAGAGAGGCAGGAGAAAGGGAGGGCAGGGGCAGCTGGGGGCTGGCTGGTTTCTTCAGCTTCAGAGCAGGACACTCACTAGGAGCTGCTGCGGTGGGGAGAAGGGAATTCACCATCACCCAGACGGAGCTGCTGCTTCTTCTCCTTCTTCCCTCTTCGTTGGTGGCCTCACACCCCCTGCCCTGCCAGGACGTGTGGCAGTGCCAGCCACCGCCGCGGAGCTGCTGTTCCACCTCAGCCACTGGCCCAGGATCTCAGCTCATCCCTGCTGATCCACCTCATCCACCAGCCCAGGATCTCAGCTCATCCCTGCTGATCCACCTCATCCACCAGCCCAGGATCTCAGCTCATCCCTGCTGATCCACCTCATCCACCAGCCCAGGATCTCAGCTCATCCCTGCTGATCCACCTCAGCCACTGGCCCAGGATCTCAGCTCATCCCTGCTGATCCACCTCAGCCACCGGCCCAGGATCTCAGCTCATCCCTGCTGATCCACCTCAGCCACTGGCCCAGGATCTCAGCTCATCCCTGCTGTTCCAGCTGAGTGTTCCTCAGAAGCCCTGCAGGAGCACCAGGACTGACCGCCCGAGGGGGTTTGTGAAGCAAAGGCTGTCACAGGGTCTTGGCTCTGTTTTGTTGTTAACGCTGTAGTTATTGCTGTATGTTTGCCTCGTTATGCACACTAGTAAAGAACTGTTATTCCTACCCTCAGATCTCTGCCTGAGAGCCCCTTGATTTCAAAACTATAATAATTTGGAGGGAAGGGGTCTACATTTTTGTTATAGATACATGTTATATTGTTGGCTTTTCACAAATATTGGAATGAAAGATATGTATAAGATTAGAAAATTTTGTTGTATTAATATAGTTTCCTTTATTTCTGTTATTGATGAAACTTAGAAATCGTAGTATAATACATATATGTTATACTATAGCATAGTATTAAAATAAAAACTACTTTTGTTTGTATAACCCAAAGACTGAAAAGATAACTAGAGGCCCCCTGCATTCGTAAACTATCGTATCCAGATAAAGACAGCAGTGACCAGAACGCCAGGGGAGGAATTTATTGCATTTCTGTTATCAGGGAATGTAAAATCTTGATGGCGCCAAGAAAATCGATCTATTGGGAAAGAGGCAAGAGTTCGGTTAAACCAAAGAACACCAAAGATCCTAAGAAGAATGTATGAATATGTATGAGAATTTATGAATATGAAGTAGGGGTCTGTTTTTAAGGGACAATCCTTTGTTAAGGTGTGCTCTCTTGGCTCAATGCAGAGACACCCGGCCATATCTGTATACTTTATCTCCTAATTGTCTTTTTATTAAACTTTTAAATTCTATAAAAAATATGTGAACCTCATTTTTCACAATTTTCATTCCAAGGGATGCTCCTGCCCTCCCTGGCAGACACCTGTCTTCCAAAACCATGACAGCCGCCCATTCAAATGACATTTAGGATCCGACTGGATATCAAATAAGAGAATAGAGGCAAGCCAGCCTGACAGTATTTCACAGTGTGAAACAGGGACACTGCCTTCTCTGTAACAAAGTGAACGATGGTGGCACCTGGTGCTGACCTCAACACAGACAGTGGCACTGGAGGGAGTGACTGCTTACCATGACAGACTGAGAAGGGCATTCAGATCCCATGATCTGGAACACCATGCACGAGCAGCCACTGAAGTGTAAGTGGACAAACCAGAAGGGTGGGGAACAGCTCAATGCCAAGAGTGGACACTGTGCCAAGGCAGCCAAAACTACCATATGATCTCTGATGCCAGGAGAGTTTCAACACTTGACATTGCTCCGACATAGCTTCATTTTCAATTTGGCTGGATGAGACCCTGCACAGACTCTCACAGAACACAAGCTTGAGGGCCCCACCCATTTGCTTCTCAAATCATGACATCCTTCAGACACTGCAAATACCTGGAATGGTCAGGACACAGATGTGAAGGTGTCCAAACTCTCCACAAAGGACCCAACATTGCAGCTCTTGGAACTGGCTCCAGCCAAAGAGCCAAAGAAGTGCTGGAGGAACTTCTGCTTCATGTTGTAAGGGACACAACTGCACTCACTGCTGGAAAGCATGTGTAAGCCTATTTAATCCAAAAATGTCCTAGAGTTATTTATTCTTCCAGAGTAAGACTCCTCAGATCCCTTTTAAAGCTAAAATGACCAGAAGTTCGGCTCACCAGTGCCCTTTCCCAGCTTCCTGCATGGGGGATGTAGGATGGCACAGCATGCACTGTGGAGGCACTCAGACTCACTCCAAAGAACACCTCAACACATTCTCACATGAAATGCAGCTACCCACCCCCACCCACCCCCAATTTTCAAGGTATTGAAAATAAAAAGTTTAAATTCTTTCATCAGAAAATCAAGTTCCTGGTAGGTGATACAATAAAGATCCCATCGGCAGACAGAGGTGCACAAATATAATGGCAGGTGAGGGGACCTGAATAACACCCTTCCATGGCTACCCTCAAGCCATCCCAGGAGCTGCAATCCCAGGAGCTACCAGCCCATCTAGGGTCTACTTCCACAAGCCCAGAGGCCCATAGGCAGTTCAGGGGATGTGAATTGTGTTTTCTGGGAACTGGGGAATGCAAATCTCTTCAGAGGAACAGAAACCCCGTGTGGGGTCCTGCCAGGACTGTTCTACAGTTCCCCCATGTTTTGGTCAATGACACAATAAGCCCTCTGAAACATCTTTTGGACCAGGAGGAACCAAAAGCAGGTAAAGGAAAGGACTGAGATTATTTGAGAAGAACAAACATGGGAAAAATAGACTATAACAAGGGCCAGTTGTACATAAACCTTTGGCTGGTCAATATACCTCTGTGTACTAACCTCCATGTCTCTCCCTTTCCTAGGTGAGGGCCTCTGTTCCATGTGTGTACTGGGGTGCAAGTGCCAGCTGCTGGAGTGGGACCACCTGTCACATGTGCCTGAGTGCTACCAGCTGGTGTGACTACAAGCAAGTGAATAAACATGAGCCATAGGAATGTCAGGCCAGAGGAGCCAGCCAGGAGGGTAACTGGAAGCAGGGGAGGGGGTGTGTAAGGGTGACCCACAAGAGCTGATTACTGGAGGCACAGGTGAGTCCTCCCCAGTTGATGGAGATGGGTATAGGGGTGTAGGCAGAGCTGTGGGTGTCTCTAGTTGGAAAGTACCTGGGAAGAGCAAGGATTCCAATCCAATCAAAACAGAGAGATGTCCAGTGTGAGACACAGAGGTCTGTAGTTTTTGTGTGCTGTGTGTAACCACAGAAGGAGATCTGTACACCTCACCCCTGGGATTGCAGGCCTCAGGGCCCATCTATCCCAGTGCAAGTAATCAGAGGCATGGGATCTGGAGGCCAGGTATGGTCATGAGTATTTCTACTAGTGGCCCCTCATCCTGACGAGCCAAGAGGGAAAAGGATGAAGCTGCTGGTGCAGTCTGTGGGAATGCTGGACATGCCCACCTGTGCTATCTGTGGGGCTGGATGTGTGTACATACACGGTCTGTCTGTGTTTGTGTGTAACCACAAGCAACATCTTCTGAGCCTCGCTCAGGTGCTTCCACCTGAAGGGCTGAGGATGTGGCAGCCCCTTCTTAGGTTCCAGGCTCAGCCCTGCCCCAGCATTTTGTCCAGGAACATCATCAGCACTGCCACACTCCTCAGAGCTCTACATACACATGGAGCAAACAGGGAAGTGTCAGCACAGGTATTCTTCCACTGGGAGCTACCAAAAGGAAGAAGCCAGAAAGCCACTGCTTTGAAATAGCATCAATATTCTGTAAAATTTTCAGCCACAGATGTTAGATTTTTTATTCCAATCAAAAGTTACTGCCTGGATTCATCCCTTTGTCTTTAAGCGCTGAGCCAAGGGACCTGAGTTACAGTACAGCAGATTCCCTTCCTTACACAATAAAGACATGAACTGGCTTCCAGCAGTTCTGCTCTCCACAGAGAAGCAGCCTAGAGCAAACATTTTTCTCACTCAAATAAATTACTAGATTCTACCTACATTTTGTAACTGTAACACATATCACCGGAGAAAGAACCACTGTGCTGCTCCTTCAAGCATGCAAAATGTCCCTCCTAGGCTCACCTCAATCAAGTGGAATTGCTGCAGTTTGGTATCTGATGGGTGGGAGCAGTAGGAGCGATAAAGACAGCTGCAAAGTCCCCTGAACTCACGTAAGTCCCGGCCTGCGCCATTGTTGGGAAGGATGAGAATTTAACAGAAAAGTTTTATGGATATGAATGCTTAGCAGAAGGTTCTCTAGAAATGAAAGCAAGCTTTGATATATAAAAAGATGTTTTTAGGGATAGTTGATGCTGAGACAGCTGAGAGAACAAAGGTTTAGTCAAGTTGGAAGGTTTAGAGCAAAGGTTTAGTCAGTTAGAAGGAAGTTTTATGGCTAAAAGTCCAATAGGTTAAGTGGTCTTCAAACAAAGCATGTTTGCTACCAAGTAAAAAAGCATAGGCAGACAGAAAGATGTTTTTTAACAAAGCAAAAAGAATTTTCCACTGCAAAACAAGTTTCAAAGTTTAACATGTAATTGCTAACTCAGATGATTAGTTAGTCACTAACATAGTATGGTAATTCTAGCAGTTTTGATAGGATGTATGTAAATGTAAAGGTATTGTGTATGATGCTGATTGGTTATGTGGTTATATGCACAGCAAAAGAAAGAGATATAATGCATGGTAATCAGAACCAAAAAGGCTTCAGGACACAGGGCTTGCCTATAGCCAGCAGCTATAGGCTGACCCATGGCCCCTGCTGTAACCTAATCTATGGAATAAACAGCATTATAAAGAAAAACCACCTGAAGTCCCCATCTCTCCGTTGGCTCTTACACACCATGACAGCTCTTCAACTGCCATCTATTCTGCCCATGGCAAAATTAATATCATCTAAACCTACAATAGTGTTTCTGGTGCTGGTGCAGAAGGATCCAAATTTCATCATATCACTGGTTGATAGGCTAGAGGCAGCTCTGGGGAGCTTTCCTCCCCTCCAGCACCAGGAGCCCAGGACCACGTCCTGGAATATCTCCAGGGATTGAGACTGCACAATCTCCCTGAGCAACCTGGGCCAGGATTTGGTCACCCTCACAGGGAAAAAAGTGTTTCTGACATGCAGAGGGACACTCCAGCATTCCAGCTTGTGCCCATGGTATCTGGTCCTGCCACTGGGCACCACTGGGAATAGCCAGGCTCTGTCCTCTTTGCAGCCTGCCTTTAGATGTTAGTATACATTGATTAGAAGACCCTGAGCCTGTTCAGCTCTGGGATGGACAGCACACACCAGTGCTGGGGCTGTCCTCCCCAAGGATAGGACTTTGCATTCTCCTGGTTGAATGTCAGGATAGGTTTCTGCTGGCCCATTTCTCCAACCTGCAGGTCCCTCTGGATGGATCTGTGACTGCCTGGTTTGTCAGCTACTCCTCCCAGTTTGGTGTCACCTGTCACTTGCTGAGGATGTCCTCTGCAATCAGCACATTGCAAATGCCCATCCAGCATTCAGCTTCCTATACAATTGCCATTGATGCTTTTTCACAGACTGTGAGCACAACTTAAAGGTACAGAATCCCTCCAGCTGTTTTCAAAGAATAGATGACCAGAAAAAAGATCCAAATGTGCAGATATGGCACCCTGCAGAAAAGTTTTAATATTAACTGATTCTTACCTGTCTTGTTCAGGATCAGGGTTCATGGAGCACACCCAGCTGTCAGGGTAGTTCTTCTCCACTGAGCTCAGCTGGAACGGGAGAGTCCGCCACTTCAGACAGACATCTGTCAGACAGATGCTTTGCAAGTCAGAAATACACATAATTTTTCCCCATAGCCCATTTAACGCCCAAGGACTGCACCAAAGTGTATCCAACAACAGTAAGACTAGTGGCCAAAAAAAAGTGATACGGTCACAGAATATATTAAGTCAATTCTTTCTTTGTGCTCACAAAATGCTTGAATGAAACCCTCAGAGACAACCCTAACAAGAATGCAATGAAGCCTGGCATCAACCAGCACCAGAGGACCTCACACTCCTGCTGCAACAATGACACATACAAACGGAATTGAACAGCCAGTCCTGACATGACAGCTCAGCCCAGTGGTCAGGCTGTCTCTTAATGATATAAAAGTAACACAAATCAGAGACTTATCCACTAAAAAACAAAATAAAACAAAAACAAAAAAAAACCAAAAAACAACAGCAACAAATTAAATTTCTGATGAACCAGGGACACAAATTTGTCTTCCAGAGTATTGCTGGCCTACCAGGAAACCAAAAGTGTCACAAAATCATGTTCTGCCAAGAAAATCCAAACGTTCTTAAATCAGGCTCTGGAAGCATATCAACAAGGGAAGACAAGAAGAAGGAGAGTAAAGCCCCTCTTCCTTCAGAGGAAACTTGAAAAGACTGAGACAACCATCAAGGCAATACAGTCTAACAAATAATTCCACAAGAATGGCCTTACATTCCTTCCTACGCCCACATTCTCAGGTCCTGGGGGGAAAATAAGAGACTTTGGTGTCACACTAGCAGGTGACAAAGTGATGGTATTGACCTTCCCAGTACCGTAACAAAGGCTAAGCCAGAGCTGTTTAGAGGTGCACAGAAGAGAACTTGCATTAAATTCCAAGGTAACTGTAAAAGGTGCCCTCTGTGCTGACACAGTGCAGGCCAGTGCATCAGGGTACAAATTACTTGGCCACTTCCTATTGCCTGTGAGGATATTTGAGATGTTATTCTGGTGCTGGGATGGGTGCCTTTCAGTGAGTTCCAGTTCATATGACATTTCTAAGCCTCCTCTTAACACTGCTACTGGCCATATCTGCCCTGCTCTGTCAGGGAACCTGAAGATCAATTAGTGAACTGTGCAGGAAAAGGAGCCTTATGCCAGGATGTCACAGAGTACCACTGAGCGCAGACAAAGGCAAACTGCAAAGTAGACAGGCCCTAGGAAGGGATAACGATGGTCCATCCCAAATCTCCTATGCATTTAACTGTCCCCATCTGCAGCCAAGAGTGTCCCCTCCTTCCCCAGGGAAAAGCAGTTGGATCAGACGCACCGCACTGAATCGTGGTGGGGATCTCCATGGCTCTCCGGCGTTTGTAGCGCAGTTCACTAGATGGAGGCTGGTTCCAGTTTGCTGATAAATAACCAAATTCATCCCAGAATTTGATGATACCTCTCTGGGCTGGAAAACAAACCACATCCTGCTCAGTATGGAGCCATTACCACTAAATCACCATCTGCACTCTTGGCTGCCCTCCAGCCACCCAAATTTCTCCTTCCAGACCCTGGTAATAGTGAAGCTTCATTACCTATTGCGACATCCTTCCAATACTGAGCCAAATGCTCTCCCATGGCCTTCAGCAAGTGTCGATATTCCTTGGCATCAGCAAAGTCTTGTTTATTATGGGTTGGCTCCAGAACCAAATAGGGCACATCCACCACACCTACCACTCCTCCACATGCCCTGGAAGAGGGACATAGAGTCACAAACATTAAACTGACAGGCTGGCAACCTGAACCACCATGCAAAATGTAAGATGGGTTTAAGGATTTGTATTTGCTGTCAAGACCTATTTTGCCTGTCTCTAGAATGAGGCATTATTACTACCAGCATGCATCAGCACCAAATGCCAAGCACCTCATACTGGTGCAGGGATGACTAGAATTTGTGTAGAGAACTCTCTATCAAGAAACCAGGGAAATATTAGTATTAAATATATGCAAACTGAAGACTGACAAAATGAGCTAGCCTCAGGCTCATGAAGAATGATTAATGCAGAACACAATTATTGCACAGCCTAAGTCAGATGTAGAAATGTACTGGGCTTAAGCAAAAAGATTGCAGAAAAATCTGCAGGACTCACATGCCACCCTCCAGCTGTGGGCCCACCTTCTCATACATCTTGATCAGCCGACTGCAGTTATAAATGAACATGCCATCCAGCTCACGTTGCTCGATGTTTACTCCAAAGATAAAATTCAGCTCCTTGGGTTCCTTCAGTGCCCTGCAGAGGGCAAAACAGAGCCTTAAGAGATGCTGAAAATAAAGCATATTATTTGCTGGTGTTAGAGAGGGTATGGAAATCCAGCACCCTTGAGAATTAAATTAATCCTGTAAATTGCTACTTCTGAAAAATACAAAACATTTGTTGAAAGTGAAGCATAAACTTTGAAGAATTTAAGACATTAGAAAAGCTAAGACCTTTATTAAATCAATTTTTGTTAAATTTAATAAAAAACTAATACTAATTAAATTTAATAGAGAGGCACTACTAGAATTGGGAGCTAATCATTAGCCAATAACTAATTGTCTGTCAACCTTACGTTTGTTCATCTGGGCTTGTAATGAGAAATGTAGAATCTTGTAAGGAACTTCAAGAACATAAGACAATTGCAAACCAGAAACTAATTGGAAACATGAAACTAGGAACATGGCCAGGGGTTCATTTGTCACTTTTCAATCACTGGATTGAAAAGGTAGAAAGGTCAGAATGAGGAAGAGCCATATCCCTTCCTCCCTTATATGACCCCTCCCCATAACGAGACCACCGACTCATTTCAAGGAACAAACTGTGCATGCTTAATTGCTTTTTTTCTAATTAGCATAAGAAGCAGAGAGTGGGTGGTAACTGAGTTATGAATATGCATTTGTATTCAATACTTCTGTAAATAAAAAGCCTGTATTCACCTGTACTCAAAGCCATGCGTATTAAGGGGTGACCCTGCACATCGGCCCAGCACTGCCAATAAACACACACTTTTTAACCCTAATCATTTAAAGAGTCTTTGTCCATTACAGCTGGATACTGACACTAGATCATACCCATATTTTGGTGAATCAAAAGAGGATTGCAATTGAATATGAACAAAATACAAAAACTTTGCAATACAGATACTAATTTTGTCTGGACAGATAATTTAATTATTCATTTGAATATGTTTTCTCCTTCAGAATGGACTCTGGTTTTTACTTCAGATGTTTTTATTCAGGGGAAACAGTTTTATGAGAGCACTGCTGCATCCAGACTGGGCCTTTTCCATGCTATTTTGGTTTGTATTTTCCAGCTATATATCTCTTTCTAGATAAAGCATGGAAATTCAGATTTCAATATAAAACTACAGTCCTGATATTCTGATTCTATAAAGTTCTCCTAATTCCAAATTTCACAAGGCTGCTCCTTAAGTTGGAAAGCTGGAGGATAGAACACACAGCCCAAGCAGAGGTTTTTGGTTTTTTTTCTGGAATGTCAGGAGATCAATTTGCATGATTTCCCCTTTATCTATGCAGCAGATGACTCCAACAAAAATTGGCCTTGAGTACATTTGTGAGCCCATAGGGATTTCTGAATCTGAATCTTTGGTTACCAGGAATTCTATTGCCATTAAGCGCAAAAGCCTTGAGATTTTAATCTCTTTGTGCTATAAATCAAACAAGATCCCTGTGTCTCACAAACAGAAGTCTTGCTCTTCAACATACTAACTTAATTAGGTTCCACAGCTTCCCTGATACCCATGCTGTGGATTTTTCATAAGAAGGATCCTCAGCTTCACGTTGAAGGTATCCTCAAATGCGATGTCCAACCCAGTAACTACTGCAAGGCAAAGCCTATACCACAGTCCTGCCCATTCCTCTCAATTTTGACCTCCTCTATATTCCCCACCTGCCCCCATCAAGTCCTTCGTAGTTATGTGCTTTATCTTAATGAGGAATTTGACTTCTGCTTAAATGGTTAGCTTAAGATTGTGGAATTCTTTAAAATGTTCTGTTAACTGTCTACTAATATCAGATATTAGGAAGACCTGAGCCATGCACACATGAACCCTACACAACCATCACCTGCAGATATGAGATCTGAGTCTGTCTTAATGGTGAAACTTTGCAACATAAATCCCCAAAATAAATTCATATTCATTTTTTGTTTAAGGCCATCCTCCCTCACACAGATGCAATGGTACTCACATCTTCATTTAAATGACACATCTTCATTTAAAAAAGGTGACTAGCACATTCCTAGGAAAAGACCTGAAATAGCAGCTTTCAATAATTTTAAATCTTTGCCAAGAAGGGTTTTGAACACTGTCAGCTGCTGGGCTGGAATGTGACCCTTTGGTGTCCGCTCACCGACGTAGACAATTATGATTTAAGAGCACGAGCAAGTGTGGCAGAACACCCACCTCAGGGATTCATTTTCTTTTTCTAACTTCTGGGAAAGAATGTAGAGCCTTACACTTCAAGAAATAGCACGTACTCACCTACAAAACAAGAATGTCTCCTCATTTTTATCAGAGAGGACAGGAAGTAAAATTATCATCCAAACCATGGAAAACAAAGTGGTGGGTAGAAAGCCAGGGATTTCATTACTAGAAATTTAGTACCTGTCCTATTGTCTGGATTGAGATCCAACCTGATCTTACACAGCCTTTGGAAACCAGAAAGCACTTCTTTCATTGATGCACCCAGCATCAGGGAAACAGAAGAAAACTATCCTAGTACATCCTCTGTAACTCAAGAATTTTCCAAAAGACAACAGGGATTAGGTAGTACAGAAGCTATCCTATTATACACATCTTTCAGGATTTTTTTCTGTTTTCTGAATGAAGTACAATGCTATGGAAAACCATGATCCTCTGAACTGTTTCTGATCACTAGTGATGAATGTGGGGGCACAGGGAAAGCCACGTACCTGCCCAGAGCATTTCTTTGCAGGTCAGCTTAGCAGGAAGAAGTGTTTTGCCCATGGGCAGGAAGGGCAGAAGACCATTCACAAAATTTTTTGTTGCACACTAATGTCACCAAACCCAAGAATTAAAGAACAAGGTGTAGATGGAAAAGTATGTGGAAGCTGAAGGAAACAGCTTCTCTCACAAGCTTCTGTATCATTCAGATCCCAGCTCTAGCACTTTTAAATTAAAGCTGTATTTATTTACTTCTTTTTAGCATCTTAAGATGCATTAGATCTATCTCCAGCAATAAGTCTGGGATAGTTCTGACCTAGGCAGCCACGTAAATGAGCATGCACACAGATAGGTGGGAATGGAGACATGCTGTATCCCAATCCCCAAACTTCCTCAGACTCAGCATTTGTTTTAAGAGCATTTGTTTCTGGTTATCACTTCATTTGAGAAATGAAAAACAAATGTATATGAAGAGTGAAATATACCTGTGAGTACATCAAAAACCAACATTAACTGCCACCAGAGCTAAGACAGAAGAATGCATTGGGATTTTGCAGCACTGGCTACACCAAAACTCAGCCTGTTTTTAGAAAGCATCCCTAAAATTCCTAAAGCTATTTCACTGTAACTTGTGAACATTTGTTTATCAGCCTGAATCATATCTGCAGGTGAAATAGCAAAAGAGTGAAAAAGACTGATGCAAAAACCAGGTAAACATCTACAGCAAAAAGCCCAATCCAGAGAAACACATGTCTTTCAGCAGGTAAGAGAGGAATAGCAGAGGCAACCAGAATAGTGCCCCAGCTGCTCAGTTTCACAGCCCAGGCATATAAAATGCCCATGGATATTTAAGCTTTGAGCTGAACCAAACACACATGCAAAACAGGAGAGATATATGAGCACCTGGAGCAAACAGCTTAGGTACTCCAGAGTTTGGAAGTCCCTGCACTCACCGCTGCTTTGCGTCCTTAATCCTTTTCTTGACGTCAGCCTCCTGCCGCATGGTGATGGCCAAGTTCTGGACCTGACGCAGTGTCACCTGCAAATAGGCATAGCATAGTCAAGCTGGGGAATTCATAAAATTCATTCAATTTTTGATTTACTGCTCTTTCAGGAAGAGCTGAAAAATGTTTTAAACATAAAAAAGTCACAAGCAGTAGATGTTGACAACCAGTGTGACTCCACATGTAGGGCACACTTATGCTGGGTTGTTTAAACAACTACACAGTTGCTTGAAGGAGAACGTCTACATGTAAAAAAAGGATTAAGGAAATTGAAGCCAGTGGCAATGGAGCACAAGGAGACATCCAGAGCACTTGGATACTGTTGTCTCCATGACATACCAATAGGAAGCTCAGTGATTTTAAACTGTTGTTACTTGCTGACCTTCCTGGTGTCCCTGACAGCCCTCCTCCAACCTCCACCAAGGCACCAGGGCTCAGCCTTGACCCTCTCAAAGCCACAGTCCCACTGGAAAAAGGCAAAGAGCCCCTCTCCAAAAGCCCCAGCCCAAATGCCTCAGAGTCAGCTGCACAGGCAGTGGGGAACAGCCAGAAAGCCCGTAGCTCTAGTTCTGTTTCCCAGGCTGCTTCCACAGAGGCTGTCAGCAAACAGCACCTGGAGTCTGGAGGTCACCTTCCCACACAGGATATATCGGGGGTGTAGGCAGGGGAACGCCAGTACACTTCTCACTTGGGCTGTACATCATGTGAAGATGGTGAAGCACATCCATTGGAGATGAGGCCATGGAGATGCCTAAATGATGCTGGAAGTTCACTGCTGACTGAAGCCACCACCTGCTTAACCAGCACACAGCTGCCAGTGCTCTGAACCATCCCTTGGTGCCCAAAACATGACATGCTGCCAAAAGCACAAGGCTCACCCTAGACTCCCGAGTGAGATCCCCTCCAAGGCGTAGCTCGAGGGCACGGGCTTTGCTCTCTGCCTCACGAGCCTTCTCTTCCGCTGAAACATACAGGGACAAGGGTGGTATCAGCCATTTGGTACAGACAGACATCTTCAGGCATTCACCCAATGAGAGCAACTCCAGAGAGCCTTTGCTGAACTGATGTGTACCAGGGTACAAAGGGAACACAAAAACATACAAAAATCAAACCTTATGTGAGAGGGTACCACTGACACGGCATCTTAAACATGCTTAGAGGTGACAGTCAACACTGGCACAATAGCAGGGATAAACTGTGCAAAAACACATTTGAAGGAAGGATCCATGAGGAAGTCAAAGAGGAACTGGAAAGTATAAGGATGCCCATGGCCCTGCCTGCTCTGCCTGGTAATGTGATTCAGAGAACAGTTCTCACAAAACCAGGACTAAGTTCAGGCTTGAAAAGGAGTTCCAAAGAGGTAATTTTCTTGCAGAGATTAAGGGAAAGGATTATTCTCAGAAAAGCTTTAATCTCTGATAATTACTAAATTTTGCCTGGAGAAAAGACAAATCTGTCCTACACATTAAATAGGACCCAGCATTCAGAAAACCTACACTGCATGTGATCTTACCTTAAGAAACTTACCATGTAAAAGGAACTCTCCTTTTTGCCTCCCTCCTAGACAAAAAAGGAATGCTGACTATAAGCACACATCACCCTTGTATTACTTAAGATTCCTTCAATAAACCTCATTTTCCCCAAGGAGAATGGACTGAGAGCAGTCCTGAGTAGAAGGACTTGGGGGTGCTGGTGGGTGAGAGCTGGCAGTGCCTCAGCTGTTTGCCCTGGCCCCCAGAAACTCTCTATGCCCTGGGCTGATCCCACAGCGTGGGCAGCAGGGGAGGGAGGGGATTCTGCTCCTGTGCCCCACCCAGGCGAGACCCCACTTACAGAGCTGCCTCCAGCCCTGGAGCCCAGCACAGGAAGGACCTGGAGCTGCTGGACTGAGTCCAGAGGAGGCCACAGAAATGCTCCAAGGGCTGGAGCTCCTCTGCTCTGGAGACAGGCTAGGAGAGCTGGGGGTGTTCAGTCTAGAGAAGGCTTCAGGAAGACATTAGACAAAATGAGCTTTAAGATCCCTTCCAACCCAAATCATCCTGTGATTCTGTAATTTGGCAATACAATGGGTTCATGCTGAGGGATGGCACAGCTCACACCAGGACAAACAGTGCCTGCAACCCCACACCTGGGGGTGTAGCAGCCTGGTTACATACAGCACACCCAGAAGACATCTCCCTCCCTGCTCTCCTCACAGGGAGATAAACTGTGGCTGTGAAACACAAGGAAACACACCAATGGAGGAGCAACCTTGCCTAAGATTTACATAGGACAAGGTAAGCAAGAAGATGACAGGCTAGCAATTGGCTCCTAGAGATTACCAATATCTCTCCAAAAAGCAGAACTCGGTTGCCAGCCAGAAGGAAACTGGAGACTGTAGCCAGTCAGTTCATTTAGACCACTACAAAGAAAATCCCTTTTCCTTTCTAAGCAGTGTCCCATTGGAGTTTTGTTCACCTCATTCCCACAGCAGCATGCTCTGGAGTTCACAGCTGCTTACCAAGGACTGTGCTGTGTGACTGGCCATCATCAAGAGACAGCCTGGATAAATCAAGCTAACAGGAGGCTGGAAGCTGCTTAAAGCTGCTTAGTCCACTTCAGTCAGAGCTTGTAGGGAAGTTGCTGGTGGGCTAAACATATTTGTGGCTAGTGGAAAGAACACAGTGGTAGTCTAGAAGGGCATAGGTCAAACCTGCTCCACTAACGCAGTGGCAACTGAGACAGCTGACAGGGACCGATATAGTTACAGGGCTGAGGCCACAAGGCGTAAAGATGCGTGTCCTATGCAGGACAGTGAGCATGCAGAAGCTGGACCCCAAATACACATTCTCCCAGAGGACAACAGGCATGGTACCCATGGCACTGCCAAACAGGTCAATGAACACACCAAAATAATCTGAAATAATACCTAGAGCAGCATAGAGTTGTTAACTTCCAGTATGTGACACCTCCATGACTCCTCACTCTTCCATTTGTTTGCTTTCCAAACTTTGGAAGGAGATTTCCAGAAGCAAAGCAATGGCAATGCCAAGATGCCTCAGTGCAGTACTCAGTCTTGGTTCAGAAGAACACAGAAAGCAGGTGATGGTCTTTCACAGCCATCTTGCCCAGGAATGGAACTTTTTTTTTAGGTCCACCCACTCACTTAGGGATCTGGATACTACAGCTTTATTGCATGAGGCAGGAAGTTAGTTCCTGGGGAATGAAAAATGGCTTTTCCTCATCTTAAATATATGTATGTCTTCACTACTGAGACATGGCTCATTTTAGATATGCTAAAGCCATATCACCAATAGTCACTGCTGCTCACACATCTTCCCCCTCCAGCTATTTTTCGGTTCTCCTGTTTTGATTCTACAAGCTCATTAACTACTTCCAGAGACTCAGCAATCTCTCAATCTGACTGATTCCAACACATTTTTTGCAGGCAGGTATCTCTGGCATTCTGGAACTGCTTGTTTGCTCAGCTGAGACCCACTACTTCTCACAATGTACTCTTGGGTTTAAAAGAGCAAAATGCAAATCATTCCTGAGTGAGGATCCCTCTGAAGTACTGGAGACCATTAGAAATTAATAATTTCTACCAGCAGGAGAACAAGAAAACTTGGTCTTACAGATGAAATCTATTTTCCTACAAGAAAAGCAATGACATGTATGCCGCTGAGGATAATACCCTGAGCATGTTTTAGTCCTGGAGGCTCCATGTGACCCAATCTTGCAGTAACAGTGTGAGCTCAGCTGGGAGTTTTCACCAGAGTCCTAAGCTCAGCACTCTCTTACCCCCAGAGGCTCCAGGCCTGTTCAGTGATTCCTGCACTCCCTGCAGCACTGCGTTGGTTTGGTGATCCTTGCACTCCAGAAGCATTGGGTTAGTTGACAGAATCACAGAATCAATTAGGTTGGAAAAGACCTCTGAGATTATGGAGTCTAACCTTTAACCAACACCACCGTGACAACTGCACCACAGCACTAAGTGCCACACACAGTCCTTCCTTAAACACCTCCAGGGATGGTGACTCCACCACTTCCCTGGGCAGTCCATTCCAATATCTAATGACCCCTTCTGTGAAGAAATTAATCCTAATGTCCACCTTAAACCTCTCCTGGCACACCTTCAGACTATGTCTTCTCATCCTGTGACTACGTGCCTGGGAGTAGAGACCCTACCCCCACCCGGCTACAGCCTCCTTTCAGGTAGTTTTACCTGAGCCTCCTTCTCTCTAAGCTAAACCACCCCAGCTGTCCTCACAGGACATGCACTCCAGGCCCTTCACCAGCTCTGCTTCCCTTCTCTGGACTCACTCTAACACCTCAATGTCCTTCTTGAAATGAGGGGCCCAGAACTGGACACAGTACTTAAGGTGTGGCCTCAACAGTGCTGAGTATCAGATGGGAGGGAAGAATCACTTCCCTGGTCCTACCAGCCACACTATTTCTAACACAGGCCAGGATGCCATTGGCCTTCTTGGCCACCTGGACACACTGCAGGTTCAGTGACCCCTACACACCCAAAGGCTGCTTTGGTGATGGAAAAGTGTGATGTGTTAATGCAAATGGAACCTGTTCTCACCACTGGGACAACAATGGGCATCATTTTTCAGGGCCAGATGCTAAACTCCACTTTTAAGTGTCATGAAAGCCTCATAGGCTGCTTCAGGGAAGAAGCCTCTCTAAATCCTGCTCTTTTCGTCTTCTTGAAAAGCAATGGGAGTGTGTGCTCAAGACCTGCCCTGACTATAGAACTCAATCTAAAAATAAATTCACCCTTGAGGATTGAGGCACACAATAAAATCTGCTTAAGCTTCATCTTATCAAGTCTATCTTCCCAGGCTGTACTTCCTAAAGGAGGAACAGGTAACATGACAATTCAAACCATTTCACTCTGCTGCTTTTCTTTGGGGCAGGGTCACAGTCACACTGCCCTCTGTGATGCTGCGCAGTCTGAATGTGGCACCACCCCTTGTGCATCTGACCTGCAGCCACACACAGACCTGCCTAAAGCAGCTCTGACACAGGGACAGAGGACATATGCCTCCAAGTGATTTACAGAGTTGATTTATGAAACCTACCAGAATATACAGGTCACATATAAATCACAACTTCCAAGATGCTTCCTTCACAACAGCATTTTTCCTTCAAGAGTCAGGGAGGGACACTGCTTTGTGGGTTAAACTTCTGGAGATTTAATGCAGTTACAATACAGTTTAATGTTGTATTTATATGCTTGTGCGATTTCTATACACTGAATATCCAACAATGACAGAGTTTTCCCTGAGGACTTAACGGGAAAGGAAGAATAGATGGACAAAAGGTATGCCTGGAAGGGCTAAAACCAAACAAACCAGGACTCCCTTGTACACCCAGACCAATCCCTTTACATTAAGTGACAGAATAAAAATCTAAAAATAAAAATTTTTAACTGCCTTAAGAGGAAAGGCGCAGAACAAAAACACAACCAAAAGCTCATAATATGTTAAAGGTGAGTAAAGAACTGCAGAGTGACAGAGCTCAGCCAGACTTTTGTTGGAGTGGGGGCAAATTGCTGGGACTCCAAGGGTTATCCTGCACATCTGCTACTCGGATGAAATGGTCTCTGGGAATAATGTACATTCCTTCCATTGCATGAACGTAAGTCTGTGTCATCTGTAGTTGCTGCAATAATTCAGTTCCTGAGCAATCCCAGCGATCCCAGAGGCAAGCAATCCCAGGTCACATTAATCAAGGGTTTGGTCCTCCCCTTAGCAACAGCTGAACGAGGGCACATGCATACTCTGACAACTCACCTATCCTCGCCATGTGCTCTGCTTTTTTCACCTCTTGCTCTGCACGGGTCTTGAAACGGTTTGAAGTGTATTTGTACATCCTGTGATGATCAAAATTTATTAATCAGCAAACTCAGCAGTAAGGTCAACCCAAAATTTCATCACTGCATGAGAGAACGAAGTCCCCACATGCTACCATACTCCTCTCAATAGATTCAATAAATGGAGGAGGTTTACATATCATGAACTGGACATTTTTGGATGAAGCTAGGCAAAATCTTTTTAAGTCAGAGGTGTTTGTAGTAGTAGCTGCACCCACAATACCCTCTCTTCTTCTGTACTAACCAGTGGGGGTGAAATATATCCATATTCTTGGAGAAAATCTCAAGACTTTGTAAGAGATGGTCCAAAGTTTCCCTCAGCTGCCTCATGACTGTCGCAAGGACAGAGACTAAGACCCTGAAGACCCCAAGAGACTTGGTACAGGGGTTCTGGCCTGGTTGAGGTGGATGCTGGCCAAGTGATTGTTTGCAGGTGTGCTTGCTCTGCTGCCATAGTACACTGACTTCGTTTCTGCTGGTGAGCAGCGACTTGTAAGGAGTGGCCTGTTCTGTACCTTACACCTGCTTCCCAGAGCAACAAGTCTTATCACAATGGCCTGTGAATCTCTCCACTTCTTGGCCAACTGCCCCTCACTTTGAAACAGACTATAAAAGTGACTTTCTAAGTTACTTTCTTCAAGAGAGAGATCTCCCCACAGAAAAAGACACTGGCGACCCCGTCTCATCCGTTGGTAGCTATAACCCCCCATTTTTCTCGCTTTTCACTTTGCCTCTTTATCCCTCTCTCCCCCCTCTCTCTTTCTCTCCCTCTCATCTATCGCATAACCTATGTTGTTGGCACTAAAATAAAGGTCCATCTCACACAGGGATAGCTCAAGGCAGGGCAACAATTTAACCAGAACTTCAGGTTTCAGGATGCTTTTGTGTGCTTCACATCTGACTCACAACCTTGAGAAATTGTTTGAGATGGAGCAGCTTGTTTCACCTTCTCTGTGTTCTAACATGCCAAATAGAGACCCAAATTCACTGACTGCTGTAGAGTGAGAGATGGGTGTTTGTGAGGCCGAAGGTCATGAATGTGTATCATCTCCAAGAACATCATGAGGAAAGATGACACCCAGGACAAGCAGAGCCTGCAGGAACTCAGATCACCTTAAGACATGAGGTTTTGGATATATCAAGAGGAAAATCCCATCCCACATGGATGGGACTTTCCAGTATTTAGCTAAAGCAAAAGCCACTAGAAATGCTGTTTTTACAGAGAGGAAAAAACACATGGGGATGCAACACTTGACTGACCAACTGATTGGAATCACACTTAGATTCTAATGAGAGACTAAATTCCCCCCAAATGGCAAATAAACTGTCAGGATTCATGAGAAACAGCCTTGTAGCAATTAAAAGTTTTGTTTCTGTGGATGAGCATACATGGATGTCAGTACTGACATCAGACATAATCTCACAAGAATCCCTAGCTCCCAAATCTAGAAAATTAATACCACACGCACAGTTCTTGGAACTACATTTTGCTAAACTAATTTTCTGCTATTTATAAGGATTTTCTCCCTGGAGAAAAAACAGGCAGGTCCTAAGATTTCCAGAAATCACAGTTGGTGATTTCATCATGTCAGGAGCTGAGGGTCAAGATTTTGGTGGCACCATCTCTAAACTATGACTGCTGTAGAGTGAGAGATGGGTGTTTGTGAGGCAGAAGGTCATGAATGCGTATCATCTCCAAGAACATCATGAGGAAAGATGACACCCAGGACAAGCAGAGCCTGCAGGAACTCAGATCATCTTAAGACATGAGGTTTTGGATATACCAAGAGGATATACCAAGAGGAAAATCCCCACATGGATGGGACTTTCCAGGATTTAGCTAAAGCAAAAGCTACTAGAAATGCTGTTTTTACAGAGAGGCAAAAACACATGGGGATGCAACCATGCTGCTTTCAATGTGTTGGCATAACTGCTTTACTTCAACCACATCTGTCTGACTTCTAGGGGGAAAATAAAAAGACAGAGAAGCAGAATGAAGCTGAATTATCCCCCCATGCCCAGCTCAGAGGGCAGGGCAGCACTTGGGGGAACTGTAGGGACAGCAGTCCTTTGCTCTAGGGAGCACTGCAAGCAACAGTGGGGTGTCCTAGATGATGGCACTGTAAGCCATCACCAGCTTCAAGACAGTCATTCCAACTTCCTTGGAGTGTCCTCATAGAGGCACATGTCTTGCATGTGGCCTGCCTATTTCTACTTTCACAGCCAGTGTTGCTAAACAAGCTCCAACAAGTACTGGGGAAGAGATGGAAGCAATCCTTCAAGAGACTGTCATGGAGTTACTTTACCTTTAAGGGAGTTGGAGTTGCTGGGAAGTGCATGGAGTCTTTTCTCCTGACTAATTATCGGTCATTGCTGGGAATTGACAGCAGTTTAGGCCATTGAAAAGTGGGATCAACTTGTGAACCCTACCTTAAAATGTAAAAGCAGAGCTCTCTGGGTTCTCTTTGTTTTCTGGCTGTGGAGGGTGGCGGAGCTCCAGGCCTCCCGTCCCTGCCCAGGCCATGCGGCCGGGCGGGGATGGGGCCGGGCCTGCCCCGTCTCCCGGCCAGGAGATGGGGGGGGCCTGGGGAAGGTTTTCCTCGGGCCCGGCCGGGCCGAGCCGATCTCTGGCTCGGCTGCAGGTTTTGCTGTAACTACATTCACTAAAAACTGCCCAGTGAAGAAAGAGGGAAGCCCTGGACTTGCAGCAGGTTGGAACAGCGACCACACGCTCCAGAGCAGCCATGAGGAACTTTCCATCGCAGACGGCTCCAGCTCCTGTTCGGCAGAGATCCCCAAACCATCTACAAAAGCCTGGGCAAGATTTTAACTCTTTCATTACCCAGATGAGACTTGCGGATTAATCTTTTTATCCAGAGAGAGAGAGAGAGAGAGATCAACATAAAAAGAGACTTTATAAACTACCAGTGACAGGAAAGAAAAGAAGCTTCAAGAAAGGTAGAGAATTAAGAAGATGCTTTAATTAAGCTGAAATATCTCCCTGTTAAAACTATGGAGATGGACAATGAAGTCCTGAAAAGAACTCCTTTAATTCATGATATAAGATCTAGAGAGGAATAGTGTTCAAAGTGTAAATTTGAGTAAAGAGTAATTATAGTATAGTGAAGTACTGGGAGATTAAAAGCCTTGAGAGGCCATGAGAAAACTGTTGAGAGATTTGAAGCCCTGAGAGGCCATGAGAAAACTGTTTTCTGGTGAAGCTCACAGAAACAGATGAAGAAGACTTTTTTTTTTTGCCTTTGAATAACTTATCCTTAAAAATGTTATCTCTAGACACATGGCCCATACTTACTTCAGAGTGATGTGAAAATGAGAGGAGTGAACTCTAATAATAGCAGCTCTGAGCAGCTAACATTAGGGCAATAGAAAACTATAACAAAAATAGTTTTCTTGTGAGAAACTCCATAAATTAACAGGAAGAAACTTCTGTTTCTCTATAAAGACTGGTGAACATACTAGCAAGAATTGAGACTGTTTTAACCATCAGAGTTCCAGAGTTTTTGTCTCTGTTGTCATGTGAACAAGAGAATAGTGGGTGGATAGAGGATGGAAAAGTTTTTCTGGAAGTTTATTCTGGTGTTCTTATTATTGTGGTTTGTCAATAAACTTTCTTGTTTTTCCCTTTTAAGTTGTATGCCTGTTTTGCTCTTATTCTAATCCATATCTCACAGCAAGAAGTAAGTTATTTTCTTAGTTAGTGGTTTAAAACCACGACAGAGACACAGGCCATTCCCAGGGAAGCTGGGAACGTGGTAACACAACTGCAAATGATGGTGAAGGATCTGCACTAAACTAGCCCGCCCCTGCCACCAGGATGTTATCAGCTCCAGAAAGGTAAGGAGAAGCCTCTCCCACAGAAACATGGGTGGTGATAAAAAGAAAACAAGTGCTCTGTTTAGGAGATGCACTGTTACTCCTGAAAAACAGTGCAAGGGCTGCAAAACCTATTTTTCAGTAAAGGCACTTACATACCCTAAATCCACAGTGGATTTCCTTTCATTGTCCACTAACACCAACACTGGAACCTGCAGACAAGCCACTGTACAGGTTTTTCCTTCAGAGATAAAGGGAACCTAACTGATAGCAGGAGGGAACCCACTCTAAAAGGAAAGAGCCCCTCAGATGTCCCACACAAGCACATCAGCTACTCAGGCTATAACGCAGCAGCACCTCCACTCTCTGTTCCCCATTCCTTTGCTTGACCAGGAAGGTTGAACACTTACCCGGCCCAGGCTGCTGGGCCAGAAACACAGCCATGCTGAAGAGCTGAGCTTCACTGCTATATCAGCTGACCCCAAAGGAGCACCATAATGGAGGTGCCTTCCCCTGTGGACTTACACACAAAGCAGCACCTGTACAAGTGCAAGGGATTAACCCAGTATTAACCTGGAGAGCACTCAAAGACTAGTAGATAAATAGGGATGATGGGCTCTGGCTCCAGCTCTAAAGGGAAAGCAAGGGCATAAGCAAACCTTTTTAGCAGGCTCAGGGAGAAAAATGTAAAAAAACCCCACACCTGTGCCAGTAAAAGCAGAGTAGCTCCACTTTCAGAATGGACTGATTTACTGGTTTTCCCTTTGGAAAGAGCCACCCAGCGCAGATTTGAGTTCTCCTCAGGAAAAAGGCTGAGTTTTCTCAACCTGCCATGGGGATAGTGTAGTATCTACCCCAAGAGCTGTGTTGGCTCTCAGAACCCACAGTGAAGGTTTTGATGACATTGTCCTGATGGCCAAGCAGCTTCTGGAGCCCAAAGGCATCGGGAAGTCCAGCCAAAAAGGGAGCAGACTGGACATTCTCCAGAGAGGCCTAGTAAAGCCACAGTAATCGTCAGAAGTCTGAGAATATTTACACTGTGCTCTACAGGAAGGCCTTGCAAAGTCTTTACTGCTATGTTGCAGGAATGGGGATTTTAAATGCAAATGCCTTTACAGTGTTTGGGAATTTCCACTGGTATATAACTATAAGCAGATCAACAGCAGTCTGCTTAGATGTGGCACAAGCAGATCTGTGAGATAAACCTGTCACAAGCACTAAATCCATCAGCTTGGAGCTCCTTAGAATAGATTACTGACCACTTGAAAAAGAAGGCACTAAGGCAGATGAATATCTGGGTTGACCTGGGACAGTTAATATTGTCATGATGCTGGCAGCATCACCCACAATGACAGCATCCTGTCTGAGTCTCACAAGAAGCTTGTCTTTGATGAGACAAAAATCTGTGTCCTCCTCTGGTTTCTCTCTCTAGTACTTTTTGATGGACTGCAGCACAAGCGAAAGCAGCACAAGGCCCTCACATGTAGCTAAAATACAGTCAAAAATCCAGAAATCCAGAGATTCTCTACCCAGTAAATCAGGATTTGCAGTGGCAAGTTCCTTGCCTTCTGCAAGGAAACAACTGGCCTGGCCAGCATCAAGAGAAGTGGGTGTAACATTCTTTTATTTTGGTCAGGTTTCTGATACCATTTCACAGTGTCACGTGTAAGGAGTTGAGGAAAGGCTAAGTTAAAACCCAGCCACTGTCAATGGCACTGTCAGGCACTGTCAATGGCATGACGCTGGCCTGCGGCTGCTAACAGTACCTGGTAGGCTAAGAATGAGCCCAAAATGCTCTGCTAAAAAATCCACAAATACTCTACAAAATTACTACTATTTTATTCAAATAAACTATGCCAGGGTATCTAGAATGCAAACTGTGCTCCTAGAGAGAGCCTCCCTCAAGCAGACTTAAATACAGGTTTTCCTTTCCCCTCCCATCCCAGTAACATTTTCCAGTCTCTGTTCAGCCAAGTGACAGCACACCCCAACTCACTGTCACACTTTTAATTAAGGAAATTTAAAATGATTATAGGGAAAGCTTTTTCTCAATCTCTATTAAAACCTAGATTAGCTACATATAAAAGTAACTGTTTCAAAGTGCTCAATCTAGTTTCTTTTTGGAAATAATCCCAACACCTACCATACATATTTCCTTCTTCTGCTCAAAAAAACAACAGTTACCCAAGAGTTTTGTGTGAATACGGCATTTCATGCAACCAGGATCCTAATTTCTTTGTTTTCTCTGAAAGGGAGCCAAATTGCACCAATGACTCATGCAATTTTCAAAGGCATTAGATTTTACACTATGTATCTATCTTCCCATGATGTCAATAGCACATGCCATTCTCTTATGGTCTGATTCTGAGGCTTTAGGGTTAGGGTTAGGAATGGAATTATGCACGATACACCTGGAGAGCAAAACACTACACCTTTTCTCTAACTCCAAATGGTCCCACACATCTGCAGATTTTGGATACAACACTTACCTTGGCTTGTAGAGGCAGCATGAGAGTCGTTTGGTTTGTACTTTGTGTCCGTTGATGAAGATCCTCATCCTGGGATCAATATAAAGCACAGCAGCATAGGCACGAAAGGAGCGGCGCTCCGGCTTGCTGCAAGACAGCCATCAACTTCAGAACACGCCCAAGAGATACCCTCAGCAAAACAGACAGGTGAAAGAAAAGGTCTTTCTATTTTAATTACCATGAAGCTACATTAAGCAAAGCTTTTCTATGAAGTTGTTTCTACCTGTGTTTTCTCCAGACTTTCTGTTGAGCTGTACATCCTAACTACTGCTACAAGACACTGATACATACATTACTGCAGCCTGAAGAGGGAGTATGAATACATCTAGATAATAATGGCCAAAGCTATAAACTGGACTATTTAACACTAAAAGTATGCCCACTTAGCAGAGCTTTTCTACCCTTCAGTGAGTCAGCAGTACCCTGCCACAGAACCTACACTACTCACTGACACACATGGTACTGCAACATCAGAAGAAAGAGGCAGTGACCAGTGGTAATTATGCCTCCCTTACAAACAGGCATTAAAGATGCCATGATCCCTTGGAGGACCCCAAGGAGTTTGCTCAGTATCATCACTCTAATACATAAACAAAGCTGCTTTACAGGGCCTGACACTTCCTATGGAAAATTCAAGCACTTCAGGGAAGAAGCATGTAATCTCATCAAAAAGGTAAAGCTTGCTAGGTGTGCCCATGGAGCTCCAGGATTTAATCAAGCATTTGGCTCAGCTCAGTTTTTTGTTTTCAGGGTATAGGTGATCAACTCAGCAAACACTCAGCTCTCTTTAAACAGGGACCTGTACTCTTCCACCCGCCCTCTGAGCACATCCTTCTTGCCCCTCCACAGGGAGAAGTGCTCCCTGCTCCCTGAAAGATGGGGTGATGCACCCCACCTGCCTCCCATATCATCCCCACACAGAGGCTGACCTGCACAGCACCTTGTGTTTTGCCACAAAATCACAAAACTGAAGAGCAGTTTGGGAAAAGCACTGATTCACAACCAGGTCTCATTCTGATAAAAACATCTTTGATAGGTGTAGAAAATGAAACATTTAGCTTAGGGCTCCTTTTTTTATGGTGCCTAAAGGACACTGAGTCTGCTGCTTTGGCTAAGCTGAGATCAGCCAGTGCAGGCATTCACCTCACACACAGCCACAACACCCATGGGCTGACACACAAATGAACCCCAACTTGCTAAAGAACAAACTACAGATCTAAATTCTCTAATTCACCACAAAAAGAGAAGCTTAAAAAAAACCCATACACATGGTATACAGCCAAACCCTACACCAAATCTGATCAGGGCCTGTTATGCCAGTCACACTTACGTTCCCTCTGGGGGTGTTTCTGCCATCTGAATATCTTGAGGGTCAGAAGTCACATCCAGCTCTGGCTCTCCATTATCCATTAGTTTGAGGTTAAAGATGATCACCAGGGTGCCTGAGCAAGTAACAAGTTGACCAGGTGAACCCCAGCCAAACCCCAAATACCTCACTCGTGACCTGTACCATCCACATGTACCTTTCTCACCACATATCTTATTGAATTGGTCCATCACTTCCCGTTCTGATTTGAAAGGGGAATACTTGTAAATAAGCTCCGTCTCGATAGCAAATTTCTCCATGTTGTCCGTCACGGGTTCACAGCTCCGTGTGTTCCAGGTAGGTAGGGGAACAATAACCTGCAAATCCCATCGTAGTAACAGTGAGTCAGGCTCTCCCACTCCAGTCAGCCCCTCTTGCAGGTCATGTTCCAGTGACTTACCCCTCCTGACAGCCCCCTAAATCACCATGAGAGTCCTTTCCAGCTTTTCAGTAGTTTGTATGTCTATCAAATGCTCATAGACCCTCTTTGCTAGCCTCTGGGTTGCCTTTTTGCAATACCAGTCCCAGAATCAACTACTCCCAAGTCACATGTACAGTACTGGCTACTCACACACTCAATGGCTTTTTCCCCTTCCCATGTAGCAACTTTCATAATACTAAAAAAACCACTCTGGCTTAATTTCTTGAGAAGAGCTCAGATATCCTTTACCCATATTTATCCTGATCTCAGTCTTTGATTTTTTAAAGCAAGGTGATTTCTGCCATTTAGAGCAAATATACAGACAAAATTATGAACTGCAGCTGCACATCAAGGACACAAATCCCATTCCAGAATTGTTGTCAAACCAAAAAAGTAGCCAGAGCTGCTGCAGGAATTAGAATTACTTTACTGTTCCCACCTGCTTCAGTCATGGGCTGGCTACCAGCATGCACTGCCCCTCCCCAGCTTCTCTGCATAGGACCCTTCAATCCCTCCCCCATAATGGAAGATGCTGAGATACCACTCCAGAGCAAATCAAAAACTTTTCATTATCAACCTTGCCTGGAACAACAATTCCTGAATTATCTATTAAAATACACAAGTTTTTTATAGGTAGAACTACACTGACATTTTATTAAAAAAATCAAAAACTTCTGTAAGAAGAGACACACCTGCAGTTAATGACCTGTGAGTAACAACTTCAAACACCTTTAATTCTCCACATAAAATCCAATCAGAGAAGTAAAATTAAATGCACCTCAAATTTTGTGGGAAAGGGAAGATGCAAGATGTCTGGGCATGTCCTGAACTTAGCACAAGCATACCTTTAAGTGATTGAAATAAGCCCTTCAAAATTGCTCTACTCTAAAGAGACTTCTCAATTAGAAATAAATTTTAGAATTAAAACCAAAAGGAAATAAAATTTGTTGACTTTGCAGAAGCCCCACAAGCATAATACCAAAAGAAAACCATACACTGATCCCACCAGAGTCACAACCAGCCCTGACACAGACTCTTCTGTGAAAGATGGGCAAGTTCAGATGAGGCAGTATTCACTGTATTAGTTCATAACAAGAAGCACATGCAAACCTCATTGATGCCTTCTTCCTCATGGAACGTCCGTGACAAGAGGAGGCAAGTCATGGTGTTATCCTTCTTTGTGAACAGGATAAAATCCTTCCCAATCCGCATGGAACCCCTGTAGACAGAAGTCAGACTGTGTGTTACACCTGATGTACCACACTGTTCAGAATGCAGCCCACATTACTGAGCTTTCTTCCCATTATGTTCAGTTATGAGATGCCAAAACCAGGTTAGGCAGAAGGGCTGAAACAGCAACTACCGTTTCTCTCTTAACATCTCACTCCTTTCAGAAGGCATATCAATCCAGGCACTTTCACAACATTTCAAAACATTTAACACCAGTCACAATTAAAAGGTGCACAGCATTGCAGACTCATACTAAGTAGAAAGTTTAAATAAAAATTTAAAAAAAAAAATTAAAAAGACAACTGATGTGAGATGTGACAATAACCTTTAAATCTCTGAGCAGAAATGTCAGTGAGAAAACAAGCACAATCCCCATTTCACTGTACCGAGATTCAAGCACAACAGTCTGGATACAGAAAATTCATTTCCTAACCTCACTAAAGCCTTACCGACACTTCAGCTAAGGCAGCTTAGCAGCTTGTTGTCACAAAAAGGGACAGTTCCCTCTTCCTCCCCATTCTCCTATCCCAAATAGTCTTTGCATCTTCTCTATCTTCTCTACAAAGTTATCCTGTTAGCAAACTCAACCAAAACACTTTAACAGATAACAATTAACATTGCATGGAAAAAAGTATTAGTATTATGTCAGCATTTCTCTTCAGACTGGCTTAAGTCCATACCACAGCCATACCACAACCTACCTTTTGCATGCAGCAGCTCCAGGCAGCATTTCTCAGATGTAAAACAGTATACCTCTTGCTCAAGGTTAAGAAAGGACAGAGATCTGTTCTGGAAGCATACAGTCAGGATCTGGGATCTGCCCTGCACTGCAGCTGAACTGACATTGTCTCAAGAACCCCTAATCCTGGATTTTCACCCCTGGTTATAGAGTTCCACTGATTTCCAAGTAGGATGCATATAATCAAGCCACATGGGTGAGCACAAAGCACAACAGCCAGAGTAAGTCAAAAGCTCTGTAACTCTTCCAAAGACACATCAAATTTCTTCCTCTTTCCTAGGAAATCTACTCCAACCACTAGGATTCCCTTCCCACATGTGCTCCTCTGCACTTAATCCCACCCCTCCTCTCATTGCTTCCATCATTCCCCTTCCCCCTGCATTTGTTTGGTTTAAGAACAAAAAGAAAAGGTTTAAGTCCATCTGCTTGTATCAGACAACTTTCCTGTTGAGAGGCTGCAGCACTATCTTGCTCAAATTTTACCTGACTGTAACAGGGAGATTACAATTTTCTTTCCAGCTCTTCCATTATTTTCCCCAAGCTCTGACCCATACCCTCTGCCTTATGCAAACATAGTGCCAAAACACTGTCATCAGCTGTACAGAGCCTTCTTGACCACTAGAAAACTACAGCAGATATTGACAGAGCTCCTGTCTACCAAACCAGGGTATCTTAGAGTTCATCTACTTTTTTTCTTTTTTTTTTCTGGAAAAAATGCAATATACCACTGAGCAAAAGGTACATCGATCACCTGGACTATGACCTCCCCAACCTCAGGAGGCTGGCTCTTGTTGTACCTACGATTTCAAGCCGTTCCCATACTGTCCGATTTGAGTGGACTCAGGTGATCGCTTGGCTGATTTACCAAACTGGATAACACTGGCAGCTTCATCTGCAGCAAGAGACAAGGAACAAAAAAGGCTTATTTCAGGGTACAGACACATACACACGCATACTTCTTTTAGATAAAGAAGGAAGATAACTCCTTCACCACTGGAAATAGGCCAGAAAAGAGGCCAGAAGCCAAAGCTGAAGTTCCATCCTGAAGCTGTACCACAGAGCCCTGTGAGATTCATGCTGCGTGAGGGCACTGATGTTACCAGAAGCTTTGTACAGGTGCCATGATGCTGACAAAAAGAGTTTTAAGTTTCAGTCTAGTTCACTATCCCATCTGAACTGCATGAAGACATTTCTTCTTACCAAAAAAAGTTGTCAGCTCACATAAATTAAGACCCCAGGATGCAGTGGATCTGTTGCACCCCATGTGCCACTGACACCACACACTTGAGAGCACTGGCACTAGAGCGTAAGTCAGGACTACTATAAAGGTCAGGAATCCAGAATAAACACTGCTATTTCTTCACAGTGCAGAACTGAGCACTCCGGTTAATTAAAGCACTAGTAGGACACAAGCTAACTTTGGCAGCAGACTGCTGGAGCCCTGGCAGCAGGACAGCTGGGGAGAAAGGCAACATAAGTAGGTCCTACAGCAATTAGCAGAGGATCTCATTAGCACAGGACACAATGGCTTTACAGCTGAAAGGCTCTGTCATTTTTAGTTCTAGCCTTTCTATTGTTCAAGGGATAAAGCCTTTTAAAATCATCCCTAGGACAGAATCATTTCTTTCCCTTCCCCCAAGAGATAATAATCATTTCACCAGAGAGTTTACTGGGAAAAATAAAGTTTAATTCCAGAGACAAGTAACACAAAGTGCCTTGCTGTGAGGGCTAAAAACAAATGCATACACAAGCTACAAGGAAGCACAAGACATCACTCACCCCACCAGGCAGCTACAGTGAGGCTGAGCCCATGGACAAGCTAGATTTCAGCATGCAGGGGACTCACACAGACCTATCAGCATTGGCCAGTTTTACAGTAAAATATTCATTACTAACACCATTGGTTTGACATGACATCACTGAGCTGGGTCAGAATGCCATTTTCAGTTGTTAAAGACATGAATACAGGAGAACAACTATGCAAACACCTTGCTGCCTCAATTGCAGCTACTCTCAATGGAGCTCCACCACTATTCCAGAAACAGCTTTGGACTGGATAAGGCCTTCCCTTCAGCCTACTGTGGTATTTTCTAGCCAAAGAAAGAAAACACCAGAATGTCTTGTATTTGAGATCTGGGTAAGGATGTCAGTGATGATGATATTGTTACTATTACTCCAACTACTACTGCTGTGTTATTTTTAAAGCTTAGTAAGGAAAGCAGATAGGAATATTCCAAAAAGAGGACTATTGGAACCTTTTTGCTCTACAAACATTTTTCAGTAACTATTTTTAAGAAACTTTTAGGAAGCCTAAAATGGGTAAAGAGTAGTTACCCAAAGCATTTCCCCTCTCAGGAAAGTGACCAGATGGTTTATCACTCAATGCTGGATGTTTGAAACCACCCTATTATGACTCCTCTTTCAGGGCAGAGGGATTAAGGTGATGCTGGGCAGAGAGGACTGTGAGGTAGCATCTCTCTCCAGGCTGTCTTTAGGAGAGATTTAATACTTATATCCTCCCAAGAAGCAAGATACAAATGATTTTTTTTTTTTTTCAGTTCTTTATAGGCTCTGGAGGGTGTTTCACTTAAGGCTATTTTAATCACACTATTTCTGTTTTGTTATACCTCAGAGTCACTGGATTAAAAAAAAGCCAAACTCCCCAGCAAGAAAAATGGGGGAAGGAGATCTATGCAAAACAAAGAGAAAAAAAAGATAAAGAAATTCATTAAAGATGGCCGAGATAGCAGGTTGATCTTCAAAGCCCAAGAAATCAAGGGCACATATAAAAAGATTCTTCACAAGAAACACTGGATGCCTGGGAGGAAGGAAATGGTGGATGAAGTTGTTCAGTTCCTAAGTGCTCCTCAAGTCAGACCCCACTTCGCTTGTTGAACAGAGTCCTCTTGTATCTCCAAGGTCTTCAGCTGAGAATGCACTAAAGAAAGTCCCAATCTTAGCAGAGAAAATTATACTTCCTGCCTTCTCCACAAATTCATCTGCTGTATTCACATTAGGTGGAGTATTTGCAGCGGACTCAACAGCATTCTCAAAAGACATCCCAGAGCTAAAGGATTTAATTCACTACCTGGGGAAAATTATCCTAAAGCCAAGTTGAACTTTCCCAAGGACAGAGGAACAAAGGCGAAGCTGTGAGGTCCTTTGACACTGTAACAAACACAGGACATGAGCCCCATATGGGGCACTGACTAGAAACAGTGACTGACAAATCACTTTGATTGTTCCTGTAATTAATTTTAAAAATCTGTTAACTTTAGAGTAAACATCAATGTTAGGGTTAGAGATTTAACAAAGTTTAACAAGATTTAAACAAGGTTAAAGGGACATTTTCTCCTGAGAACTGTGTAGACTGCTCCCCCGAAAGTGGCCCCCAAGAGTCACTGTCCACACACACAAGTGTGTACACACTCTAAAGTAGGAGTTGGAGTTCCAGTTAAACAGTGTTCCTCACCATCACGAGCCTTGGATAAACAGTATTTTTAAAACACAAAATCTAATAAAGCAACCAAGACACTACTACTTAATTAACTGCTTCCATTAAAACAAAAGTTGTTTTGAGCTTCCATACTTCAAAAATACAATTGAAAAAGCAGGACCTGATATATTCGCTTCAATCTCTCAAAAAGACATGGAACAAGCCCTCTTAAAAACTATTAGAAGCCAGACTGGGCTAAGTCTGCAGAGATTTACAAAGGCAAGTCACACCTGACAGATTTGGTCACCTTCTACAAGGCAGCACCTTCTGTCCTTATGGAGAGAGCAGTGGGTATTGTTTGGCTGGACTTCAACAAAGTGTTGGACACAGTTTACCACAGCCTGTTCCTGGACAAACTGGGGAGACACAAATCAGGCAAGTGGTATACAAAACAGGTAGGGAACTGGCTTATGGGTCATGCTCAGAAGTGATCATCAATCGTTTTCACTCCGGCTGGCAGCCTGTCACAAGCAGAGACCCCAGGGACTGATGCTGTGCCCCACATTACTCAACATCTCCATACAGAATCTGGATCCTGGGGTGCTTTTGCACCCTCACCAGCTTTGTTGATGGGGGTAAATTAGGCACATAAGGAATGCTTTCTTAGACACCTGGACAGGCTGGAATAGTGGGCATGCAAGATTGTGTCTGAAGTTCAAGGGAAGTGTAAAGTCCTGCACCTAGGACTAAATAACCTGAGAGCCCAGCACAGTCTGGAAATTGCAGGTTGGGAGGGGCAGCCTTGCTGGAAGCATTCTGGTGGACAACAAGCCAAGTATGATCCAGTAGTGTTGCACAGCAGCAACTGAGGCAAACAGTATCCTGGGCTGTATCCACAGAGACATTGCCAAAAAGATGGAAATGTGATTATCCCACTCAACTCCATGTTTGTCAGGCCCCACCTGCAGTACTGTGTCCAGTTCTGTCTCCTCAATTCAGGAGAGATGCAGGCAGACTGAACAGGATGCAAAGGAGATGATCAGAGGCCTGCAGAATCTGCCCTATGAGAAGAACTAGGTCTCCTTCCTTGAGAAGAGAGGGCTCAGGGGAAATCTCCTCATAGTATTACAGTACTTGAAGGGTAGCTACAAAGAGGATGGAGTCTCTCCCTTCCCTAGGATCCACATGAAAAAGAGGCGATACAAGTTGCACTGGGAGAGGTTTCTTCTTAAAATAAGTAAGAAATTTTTTAGAGATCAATCAGTTATTTAATCAGTCACTGGAACAACCTCCCCAGGTATGTGGTAGAGTCCCCATCACTGGAGAGACAAAGTGCAAAATCATCTTTTTCCTTTCCCGTGAAAGGCTAGTACAAATGAACTTTGAGGTACTTTCCAACCTGAGCACTTCTATGATGAAAATGCCAGGTAGAGACTTATTTTCTTCAATTGCTTAAGAATAAAACTACAGTCACTTCCTAAACTAGTTGTTATACTTTCTCAACCTAGAAGTTGTCCACTGAATCATTCAACCTGTATTTTGATTCTTTAAATTCATGCAGCATTTTCAGAGCCAGGAATTAGGTAAAAGTTCAAGCCAGAGTAGTGATTTCACTGATAGTATGAGAAATCTGATGTGCTGCAGGAGATCTATTGTTTGGTTTTCTATGGACTCCTGTCTAGCTCCTTACATAAAAGCCAAACTTTCGGGCCAGTACTATTATATTCTCTGTGTTGGAAGCAGAGGGTATTTATTGGATGGTAATATATTTTCTAATATTGGAAATTAGGAAAAAGTTCTTCACCAAGTGGTGGTTGGGCACTGGAAAAAGCTCCCCAGGGCAGTGGTCATGGTCTCATGCCTGACAGAGCTCCAGAAGCACCTCCCAGGCACTAGGTGGGATTTTGGGGTGTCCTGTGCAGGGCAAGGAGCCAGACTCCATGATCCTGGTGTGTCGCTTCCAACTCAGAAGATTCTATAATTCTGATACCTCTCTGCAGGACATGATGGTTCTTTTGAAAAGAGCTGTCCTGTGACATCACTGGATCCTCAGACCTTTTGGCAACTGACAGAATTCACAGAATCACCAGTGTGATAGATAGAAACTCTTTTGTTTGCCTAAATATATAGATATGATAGAATGCTTTGCGAAATTGTACTTTAGATATAAAGTTGAGAAAGGGGTTTGAAGGCCACTAACTCGCTGAAGCTGGCATAATTAATAACAGCCTAGCAGAAATCCCTGGAACACTAGGACAAGATAAACTTGGAGAGAGAAACAGTGAGAAAAGGTCAATGGAACAGGAGTGAGGAAGACTTGAAGCCTCCCTTCTACGACCACAAGAGAGTAGAAAAGGATCATCTAATGACCAGAGACACATGCTCAGAAACGCCGGGAGAAAGCCACATCACCAGGAGGCCGAAACGAATAACAGGACAAACACGGAAGCGGGAAGCGCGGCAGCTCCGTGGGGAAGAGGTTTCTCCTCCTCCTCCCTGCCGCCCGGCGCCGACTTTTGCTTATTGCTGGCTTGCTATAATTAATAAAAACCTTTCCTTATATATCTTTTTCTAGTGTGTTTATAACAAATTTGGTGCCGTGACTCGGATGCAATCTGCAGGACAGATTCTCGGTACCACCGGTGGGCGCCCCCGCTTTAATATTTAGCGGTCCGGAGGACCGGTTTCTGCCTCAGTTGCACCGACGAACCTAAAAGATCTAAGCAATAAGCAAAAGGGAGACCGGTCGACCCCTTAAAATCTGTGCACAGTGTCCGGACGAAGACGCAGGACGCGTGAGTATTACGAGAGCCGTTCGGTCGGGGTCAGGGTCCCGGAGTGTGGCGAGTGGTGTGTGTGTGAGAGGGGGACTGGCAGCCAGATTCCCCAAGCGAGAGCGGACCCTCAAGTAGTGCGGTTCCCATTGGCCCGCGAGGGCGTTGGCCACAAACGAGGGGAAGCGAAAGCGGCTGTGTGATTGAAGGCACTCCGGAAGAATGGAACAGGGGAAGAGCAAGCACCCTGTATCCATTAAACTCCCACCGGTACCTAGAGATAGTCCATTGGGTTTTATATTAGAGAATTAGGAGCATTTCCCCGGAACAGAAAATAAAGATAAAGCAAAAATGATTCATTATTGTGTAGAAGTATGGGAAGGAAAAGAAATTTCAAGAAATGTATTTTAGCCTGTATTTAGATCAACTGAAGATTGGGTTAAACAAAAGTTAAATTCATAGGTAAAAATAAAGATTCCCTTTAACCCAGAGGAAAGTGCTTATGCAGAGATCTGGGTAGTGAATCCCGAGGCTTTTATATTTAGGTTGACAGAGAATTTGGGGGAGGGGAAGGGAAAGAAAAAGAAACCCCGAAAAGAAGATGCTTTGATAATCCCTTATATATAGATATATATATATAGATATATATTATATATATCTATATTATATATAGATAATGCCTTATAATATAAAAGAAGTTCAAACACATCCAAATGTGAGTGACCAATATATCAGTAAGTACTTAATAAAATTAATGAAGTATAAGAAGGCATTATAGGAAAAAGGAATGCTAGCTCAAAGACCACCATTAGATTTTATATTACATCAGGTACAACCCGGAGATTGGGTGTTGATAAGAAGTTGGAAAGAGAATCCCCTAACACCGAAGTGGGAAGGACTGTATCAAGTCTTACTAACAACTGATTCTGCAATCCGAACCGCAGAGAAAGGATGGACACATGCAAGTCGAATTAAGGGACCTGTGGAGCCACAAAAAACAAACTAATAACTAAAAAGTGGTTAGCCCGGCTGGGGACCTGAGACTTAAAATATCCTGGAAAAAATGACATCTGAAAATTATTAATCTGTGTAGAGACTTATGAATAGTAAACTCCATAAAAGCTTTTATATAGAATATAAGATACCCCCATCTAGTAGTGAAGAAATATATAATAGAAATGTTAAAATAGGTTGTGCTGTATGCCAGAATTGTTACCCTTTTGTTTGTTTTAAATGTATAGTATGTGAAGAACATTGGTGGACCCACTGTCATAGAGGCTACCCACCGAGAGGGGTGTGTAGATTTTGCTACATTGCCCAGAGAAGACTCACTGATTGAACCTTAAGAACCAAAACACAGGCAGGGGAATTTGAAAAAAAGATCAGAAAAGTGGTGGGCCACTTACTCAAAAGGAGTTAATTCCTTGTATTATTGTTACCATCCAAACGAACCTGCACCTTTTGTAGTAAATATAGTAGCTGGGTTGTGCAGACGGAGGCTCCAGGAATTGAGGTGTGATACCCCTTTAGTAAAACATAAAAATTGGGAAAAATATATACAAAGAAAAAAAAAAATAAAAAAAAAACAATAAAAAAAATGGAGTAATCTCCCTCCTGAAGAATACTCTAATACTCTTGCTGCCGAGAAGATGGTACACCCCGTGGCCCGAGGCAACCGGGTCGACGACGGGAGAGGCAGAGGAGTAATAAACTGTGGAGGGAAACACTCCAATATACATGAGACCAAAAGGTCATGGTCCTGGAAATGCCACAAAAATGGGAATAAGACAACCCAGCAAAATAATTTATGGGAAGCCCAAATTAGTATTTTACAAAGGAAAAGCCTCTATTATAGCAAGAGAAACCAATGCTCATTAAAAAGGTCAGTAACATTTATAATTTTAATTAGCACATTTAACCTTTGTTTAAGTAAGACACATGAACCCTTTAACTGGTCCTTAATTCGATGGGAGGACCAGGTTATTATTCAATCACAAATTACCTCTGGAGCCCCTAGCTTTCAAGTTACACTAGACTCTCTCATTAAGTGGAAGGGTATTAATTATTTCCCACCTGGTCATAAGGTATTATACATGTGCCCAGCTTCTAACCCAGGCAGAGGATATTGTAATTATCCCGGAGAATTTTACTGTAAATATTGAAGTTGCGAAACAATTTCCATAGGATGGAAAGTACAGAACCCAGATAAGTATCTAAAGGTTGAACGGGGTCCACACGGATGTGTAAAGCCCTGGATAGGCCCCTAAAAGAAGATAATATATTAAAACTTCTAAATTTCACTATATAAATATTAAAGAATCCCAAGATCCTGGGTAGTTATTAGAAAGAACCTGGGGCCTTAGAGTATGAGAACCCAGAAGAGATCGGGGGGTGCACATACTCATAAAGAAAAGAGGTAGTTCCCCATGATTCGAGATCTGTTAGACCAAATCCAGTGGTGTGGAGAGTAAAAGACCCTAAAGTAAGAGATCAGAATAACCAGAAAAATTCAGAAAAATTAGAAAATAACACCCAAGTATTAACCACAGTAGAGACACCCCAAGAATATAGAAATGAAGCTCTTTAGAAAATTCTGCAAGCTACCTTTAGAGTATTAAATGATACACATCCAAATTTAACTAGAGAATGTTGGTTATGTTATAACATTAACCCACCTTTTTATAAAGCCATAAGCTCCATAGCAGAACCAAAAAGAGTGAATGGTACCAATCCTGCTGCTTGCTTATAGAAATCGGGAAAGGAAAATACTCCAGGAATAACCTTATCTCGAGTCATTGGAAAAAGGAAATGTGTGAGAAATGTGCCCCTAGATAAGAATTACTTATGCCAAACAAAAATATTGATTAATGACCCTCACAAGCCAGCTCAGTGGCTAATTCCAGCACCTAATACTAAATGGGTTTGTAACACTTTAAGAGTAACTCCATGTGTTTCTATAACAACCTTTAATGAAATTTATGAATTCTGCATACAAGTCATAATAGTTCCCAGAATTATTTATCATTCTGAAGAATATGTGTATACACAATATCAAAACCCAGAACATCATTTAGTAAGGCGAGAACCCCTCACAGCACTAACAGTAGCTGTATTGCTAGGCATAGGAGGAGCTGGATTAGGAACAAGAGTAGCATCCTTAGTAAATCAGCACCAGGGGCTCAAAGAGCTTAGAATTTCAGTAGATGAAGATTTAAGAAGGATTGATAAATCTATAAAAGACCTCACAGACTCCCTAGACTCACTGGCTGAAGTGGCCTTACAAAATAGAAGGGGATTAAATCTATTATTTTTACGACAAGGAGGCCTTTGTGCTGCCCTTAAAGAAGAATGTTGTGTATATGTAAATAAAAGTGGAATAGTAAGAGAGACCATGGCTAAATTACAAGAAAGACTAGGAAAAAAAAAAAAAAGAACAGGAAATGCACCAGAACTGGTATGAATCTTAGTTTAATTATTCCCCCTGGTTACCCTGGTTAACTACTTTATTATCCACCATAATGGGGCCCTTAATTTTACTAATTTTAATACTTACTTTAGGCCCTTACATTCTCAATAAAATTATTAATATCGTAAAAAACAGATTAGAAGCAGCACACCTTATGTTAATACATGCCAAATATGAAGCTTTAAAAGGAGAAGAAACAGAAGATTATTAAGAATTAAGTAGAAAAAGAACTACAAAGATTCAGCGAACAAAAGTAAAAAATAGAAAAAGGGGGGTTTGTGATAGATAGAAACTCTTTTGTTCGCCTAAATATATAGATATGATAAAATGCTTTGCGAAATTGTACTTTAGATATAAAGTTGAGAAAGGGGTTGAAGGCCACTAACTTGCTGAAGCTGGCATAATTAATAACAGCCTAGCAGAAATTCCTGGAACACTAGGACAAGATAAACTTGGGGAGAGAAACAGTGAGAAAAGGTCAGTGGAACAGGAGTGAGGAAGACTTGGAGCCTCCCTTCTACGACCACAAGAGAGTAGAAAAGGATCATCTAACGACCAGAGACGCATGCTCAGAAACGCCGGAAGAAAGCCACATCACCAGGAGGCCGAAACGAATAAAAGGACAAACACGGAAGCGGGAAGCGCGGCAGCTCCGTGGGGAAGAGGTTTCTCCTCCTCCCTGCCGCCCGGCGCCAACTTTTGCTTATTGCTGGCTTGCTATAATTAATAAAAACCTTTCCTTATATATCTGTTTCTAGTGTATTTATAACAGTACGTATATTCTGAACATTAAGACATTTAAAGACTGTTTTAAAAGGGAAAAAAATCTGCTCTTGGTTGAGAGTGAAGGGACTGTAATACTTTCAAATTAAAGATTTTACAGATTATAATAGCTTAGTAGCTCTGTAGCAATATATGTGTGTTTATATAGATTTAAAACTTTACAAAGACATTTTCTATTAGCACATCCTTTTGGACCTAAAACTCCAGAATCAGGATATAGATGACTTCCTGGCAATAATTTTCAGTTAAACCTGGTGTTAAGTGTTAGGTAAGTAGTAATGTAACTGAGAGGAGCCAATTTAATTCTGATTCTGTCTCAACACATTGTTAAGAGGCATGTAAGGGAGGGGGATGCACATGTGCCTCTGCAGGAGGCATCAGGAGAAGGTAGAGGAAAGCCTTTTCTCTGGGGAGCCTTTGCCCAGCAGCCAGTTCATGTCTCAGCAGGGTCAGGCAGGTGGCAGCAGACACTGAACCCTCCGGAGGGGCTCTCCAGCCAGATGGAAAAAGGTCTGCACCCATGGGCTGCGGTGGAAGGTTGGACTGGGCCAGCGCTCTCCTGTCCACAGGCAGGCCTTGGGAGGAGCCAGGGCACAGAAAAGCAACTGAGTCACAGCTCTGGGCCTTTTTGGTCTGCCTCTAGCCAGCTGTCTGCTTCTCGCCCTGGCCCTAGCCTGTTTTTGTCCTTTTTGCCCCAGCTCCAGACAGCTTTATGGCCTTTTTCCCCCCTCGGCCCTCTCTGTCCCTCACGTCCTCGCCCCGCTCCCGCCAGGGCCTCGGCCGGACCCCGACTGACCCCGAGCCCCGCCTGCGGCCCGCGTCCTGCCNAGCACAGACACTCAGGGTGAAACAGGAAGCAATTTTGAAGCAATTGTTCTAAAGCAAAAGCAGTTATTGCACAGAGATTGATGTCATTGCCCCAGACCACTGGAGAGGGACAGTGACTCTGCCACTTCTCCCCTGGCCAGCCCATTCCAATTCCCAATCACCCTTTCTGGGAAGAACTCCTTCCTATTGTTCAGCCTAAACCTGCCCTTGTGCAGCTTAAGGCTGTGTCTCCTTGTCCTGCCCTCCAGCACATCCACACTTGCAGCCAGCTTGGTGTCATCTGCAGTTTGTGAGTGCTGGACTCGACCCCTCAGCCAGACCCTCAGTGAACATATTAAACAGGACTGGGCCCAGCACAGATCCTTGGGGACACCACCAGGGACTGGACACCAGCTGGATGCAGCACCATCCCCACCACTCTCTGGGCCCGGCCTCCAGCCAGTTCTGAAGCTGGCAAAGAGTGCTCCTGTCCAAGCCATGGGCTGCAGCTTATCCAGGGAATGCTGTGGCTCTCCGTGTCCAAGGCCTTGCTGAAGTCCAGCTAGACACATCCAGAGCCTTTCCCGCACCCACCGGGCGGGTCAGCTGGTTATAAAAGGAGATCAGGTTGGTCAGGCAGTGTGATAGATAGAAACTCTTTTGTTCGCCTAAATATATAGATATGATAGAATGCTTTGCGAAATTGTACTTTAGATATAAAGTTGAGAAAGGGGTTTGAAGGCCACTAACTCGCTGAAGTTGGCATAATTAATAACAGCCTAGCAGAAATTCCTGGAACACTAGGACAAGATAAACTTGGAGAGAGAAACAGTGAGAAAAGGTCAATGGAACAGGAGTGAGGAAGACTTGAAGCCTCCCTTCTACGACCACAAGAGAGTAGAAAAGGATCATCTAATGACCAGAGACGCATGCTCAGAAACGCCGGAAGAAAGCCACATCACCAGGAGGCCGAAACAAATAAAAAGACAAACACGGAAGCGGGAAGCGCGGCAGCTCCGTGGGGAAGAGGTTTCTCCTCCTCCTCCCTGCCGCCCGGCGCCGACTTTTGCTTATTGCTGGCTTGCTATAATTAATAAAAACCTTTCCTTATATATCTGTTTCTAGTGTATTTATAACAAATTTGGTGCCCGTGACTCGGATACAATCTGCAGGACGGATACTCGATACCACCAGTGGGTGCCCCCGCTTTAATATTTAGCGGTCTGGAGGACCGGTTTCTGTCTCAGTTGTACCGACGAACCTAAAAGATCTAAGCAATAAGCAAAAGGGAGACCGGTCGACCCCTTAAAATCTGTGCACAGTGTCCGGACGAAGATGCAGGACGCGTGAGTATTATGAGAGCCGTTCGGTCGAGGTCAGGGTCCCGGAGTGTGGCGAGTGGTGTGTGTGTGTGAGAGGGGGACTGGCAGCCAGATTCCCCAAGCGAGACCAGACCCTCAAGTAGTGCGGTTCCCATTGGCCCACGAGGGCGTGGGCCACAAACGAGGGAAAGCAAAAGCGGCTGTGTGATTGAAGGCACTCCGGAAGAATGGAACAGGGGAAGAGCAAGCACCCTGTATCCATTAAACTCCCACCGGTACCTAGAGATAGTCCATTGGGTTTTATATTAGAGAATTGGGAGCATTTCCCCGGAACAGAAAATAAAGATAAGGCAAAAATGATTCATTATTGTGTAGAAGTATGGGAAGGAAAGGAAATTTAAAGAAATGTATTTTGGCTTGTATTAAGATCAACTGAAGATTGGGTTAAACAAAAGTTAAATTCATAGGTAAAAATAAAGATTCCCTTTAACCCAGAGGAAAGTGCTTATGCAGAGATCTGGGTAGTGAATCCCGAGGCTTTTATATTTAGGTTGACAGAGAATTTGGGGGAGGGAAGGGAAAGAAAAAGAAACCCCGAAAAGAAGATGCTTTGATAATCCCTTATATATAGATATATATATATATAGATATATATATTATATATATATATTATATATAGATAATGCCTTATAATATAAAAGAAGTTCAAACACATCCAATTGTGAGTGACCAATATATCAATAAGTACTTAATAAAATTAATGAAGTATAAGAAGGCATTATAGGAAAAAGGAATGCTAGCTCAAAGACCACCATTGGATTTTATATTACATCAGGTACAACCCGGAGATTGAGTGTTGATAAGAAGTTGGAAAAAGAATCCCCTAACACCGAAGTGGGAAAGACTGTATCAAGTCTTACTAACAACTGATTCTGCAATCCGAACCGCAGAGAAAGGATGAACACATGCAAGTCGAATTAAGAGACCTGTGGAGCCACAAAAAACAAACTAATAACTAGAAAGTGGTTAGCCCGGCTGGGGACCTGAGACTTAAAATATCCTGGAAAAAATGACATCTGAAAATTATTAATCTGTGTAAAGACTTAATGAATAGTAAACTCCATAAAAGCTTTTATATAGAATATAAGATACCCCCATCTAGTAGTGAAGAAATATATAATAGTAATGTTAAAATAGGTTGTGCTGTATGCCAGAATTGTTACCCTTTTGTTTGTTTTAAATGTATAGTATGTGAAAAACATTGGTGGACCCACTGTCATAGAGGCTACCCACCGAGAGGGGTGCGTAGATTTTGCTACATTGCCCAGAGAAGACTCACTGATTGAGCCTTAAGAACCAAAACACAGGCAGGGGAATTTGAAAAAAGATCAGAAAAGTGGTGGGCCACTTACTCAAAGAGTTAATTCCTTGTATTATTGTTACCATCCAAACGAACCTGCACCTTTTGTAGTAAATATAGTAGCTGGGTTGTTCAGACGGAGGCTCCAGGAATTGAGGTGTGATACCCCTTTAGTAAAACATAAAAATTGGGAAAAATATATACAAAGAAAGAATAAAAAAAAAAAAAAAAA